TATATATATATATATATATATATAAATATATAAACATGGCTATTAAAACAGAGCTCCATCAAAGATGATACCAAGATTTCTAATGTCACTGCAATTTGAAGATGGCAAACCCTTAAAAACTTGCCTAATAACTGGGGGGATGCTATGTGGAGCAAAAATCAATATTTAAGATTTATCAGGGGTCTGGCTGCAGATCTGGTGCAGTGCAATCTGGGCTGCATCCAATGCTTTTTAATGGGCTCACGTAACCCCACCCCTAACCCTACCCGTCACAGTGCTGTCATTAGCTCCATTTGAGTGCATTGTGTCTGACATTGCATCGCTGAGTGATGCAGTCTCAGCTTGCATCATAAAGGCTGCATCCAGATACTATTGGAAAATTGTCTGCCATCCATTTGTTAATGGAGTTTTAAAAAATCCTGTAATCCCAATCTAGTCTGTCAGGGCTAAAAGAAACGTATAATTGCACATCTTCTGCATAGCAATGATGAAATATAACTTTAAAACTACTTATAATTTTGCTGAGAGGAAACATATATCAATTAAAAAGAAGAGGGCCCAGGACATACCTTGAGGTACACCACAGGATAGAGGAACAGAGTCTGTTGTCAGTGAAATAACTAAAAAAGGAAATATTACTAGAAAATATACTAATGAAAGCAGATATTGACATTAAATTTTGGTTGAACAGAAGCATAAATGCAAACTAATGACACTGGCCTGGGGAAAATTGAAGGGTACCAACACTTTTGGCCATGTCTGTATACTTGTTGATGTTTTAATATGCAGCTTATATCAAATTGTTCGCCCCCCCTGTTGTTTTTTTCTAAATATTTCCCAAATGTTTAGAGCAAGTAATTTTTACAGTATTTCCTATAATATTTTTTCTTCTGGAGAAAGTCTTGTTTTATTTCGGCTAGAATAAAAGCAGTTTTTAATTTTTAAAAACCATCTTAAGGTCATTATTATTAGTCCCCTTTCAGCAATATTTGTTTTCGGTTGTCTACAGAACAAATTGCCTAATTACCCTAATTTAACCTAATTAAGCCTTTAAATGTCACTTTAAGCTGAATACTAGGCTAAAGGGGGACTAATCATTTAGGAGGTCTAATAATTCTGACTTCAACTGTATATCACCATGATTATTATGATTTTTTTTTGCTGCTAAATGTGAAAGAAATACAAGTGACCATGCACTGATTATGAGCAGCCGGAGGAAATGAACTGGTCTGCTCTGGTTAATGTTTGACTCTTTTCGTAGAAACCGCACACACAGCCACGGCACTCAGAATTAATGGAGGAACTCAAAACACTGATCTGACATCAGAAGTGTAGGCAAAGAACAGAGGATGCGTACCTGTAAAATGATGGTTTAGTATTACCAGCAAAACTAAAGTCTGCAGTGATATTTTGTTTTACGTTCACTAGGATTCGTGTACAGTGATCTGGCTTGTCTTTGTATGCAGTTTGTTACTGGAAGCTTTTATTGAGGTAAGTGCCTTTTGCTTTGCATGCTAAGTTTTCATGTTTGTTGCAAAATACAGTGTGTGAATTAGGTGATAAGTCAAGTTTTTTTTTTTATTGTGATATTTTTGTGAGAAGAATTCTAAAGTCTTTAAATACAGTCAACAGCATTAATGGGTACACCATCTTACAAATTCCCCTTTTAAACTATATATACTGTATATATATATATATTTATAGGATGCTATACAATAAGATATTTGTGTGTTAGTCCGTATCAAAGCCAAAACTGGAACTAATTTCTAGAAAAGTCTTTAAAAATCTTTATAATAATCACGTTCCCTGAAGATATTTTGTAAATGTCATGCTGTAAATATATCGAAACTAATATATATTTTTTTTATTAATTTGTGCATTCCTAAGCACCTCATTTAGACTGTGATTTTCTCATTACTTAGATTTTTTTGAATGCTTACACTGTATAATTGCAGGGTTTAACTCATTCATGCCTTCCCAACACAAATCCATTAAGATAACGTTACTAATTTAAGTAAATTGAACAAAAAACAGTGGTTAGCACTGTCACCTCACAGCAAGAAGGTCACTGGTTCGAGTCCCAGCTGGGTCAGTTGGTATTTCTGTGTGGAGTTTGCATGTTCTCCCTGTGTTAGCATGGGTTTCCTCTAGGTGCTCTGGTTTCCCCCACAGTTCAAACACATGCTCTACAGGTGAATTGAATAAACTATTTTGGCCATAGTGTATGTGTGAATGAGTGTGTATGGGTGTTTCCCAGTTCTGGGTTGCGGGTCGAAGGGCATCCACTGTAATACTCGGCGGTTCATTCCACTGTGGTGACCCCTGATGAATAAATGGACTAAGCCGAAGGAAGATGAATGAACAAAAAACAATTAAGTTTCCTCCCCAATATCTCCAGAATTGTGTTGTTTCAGCTCATTTTGAATAAGTAGTTTGAACAAGAAAACAGTTCAAGCAGTTGTGTCTGAGATAAATATTGGCTTATATTCACAAACTATACATCAATGAAATAGTTAATTCAGCTTTCAGATAACGTTTACCTCTCAATAATAAAAAAAGCTTTAATTGGCAGTTTTTTCAGTCCACATTTGTCCTCAACCTTTTATTCATCAACCCTCCCTCAAAATGTGCAGCTCACGATCCCTCATTCTCACACAAACAACCCTTTTTTTTCCAGGGACTTGAGCTGTGTTTTGTGGAATAGTCGAGTCCTGCTGGAGCATATTTCCAGAGTTAATTAGCAGGATCTTAAAACATTACACCTGGGAAGTGGCTGTGAACTGGACGTAGTGTGTCACAGATCCAGCAGTGGGAAGGTCAGCCAGGTGGAACTCCAAGTTTCAATCTTAACCTATGAGAAAACATGGAGATCATTTCAGTTATGAGCAAGTTTGCTGTTTGTTCAATCCCCTTAAATTAGTAAAAATTAATAAGTTAACCTAATTTATTCACAAATCAACAATACAGTATAGGTTTTTATGTAAACTCCATTTACATTAAATGGAGGGGGGGGGTTTGGTCTGTTTATTTGTCAGGGCCCCGTTTTTTTAAAAAGGGAATTATATCCGAATAATTTGATCTGGATTTAGTAATCCTTTTTTTGCGATCCGTGATCACGTAATCCAGCTTACTTTTTGAGCCAGTTTTTCAAAGTAACGTCAGATTGGATCAATCTGATCTGGATTGGAACTTTTTAGGATCACCAAGTCTGGATAACCAGTGCTCAAACAGAATAGGAAATCACAACTATAGATATGCAAGAGTAGAATAGCCAGTGTGGGGTCAATATAACTTAATTTTTAATTGTAATAAAAACACACACATTAAAAAAAGTGTATAAAAGTGGGAACGTTTGTAAAAACTTCATAAACGTCATACATAACATTATTTATACTTAAATATTTAAATACTATAGATGTAAAATGATGCATGAACTTGAGCAGCTGTTTTCCCACGCTAATTGTCTCTGTTTCACTGTTGCAGTGGTGTTGCTTTTTTATATACAGTATATGGTCATATTTGCTATAACTGATCTCTTTTTTAAGATGTTGCCATGCTCACTCGTAATATCTGCGCTCCATTGATAATGCCTTTTTGTAGTTGCGATGTGCGTGCTTAACTCTGAGTTAGTCTACTCATAGTTGATTGACCTAACTCAGATGAGCTATTCTGAAACCGAAAACTCAGAGTTTTTAATCTCTCGGTAAATCAACTCAAAGTTCAAGTTTAAACTCCGAGTTGGTTGAACTCCCTTACTGAAACAGGCCTCTGGGCCCGGTTTTTCAAAAGGTTTAATCCGTATAAAATTCATTTGGATTTAGTAATCCTGTTTTTGCGATCCGTGATCACGTAATCCAGCTTACTTTTTGAGCCAGTTTTTCAAAGCAACATTGGATTGGATCAATTTAATCCAGATAGGAACTTTTCAGGATCACTAAATCTGGATTACCAGTGCTCAATCACAATGTAGATGGATAGATAGGCCTATGTAAAGAGCAACAAGTAAAATAGCCAGTGTGGGGTAAATATAACTTTATTTTTATATGAAATGAAAACTAAGAAAATTTTAGAAACAATAAAATAATTATAATAATAAATAATAAAAGCAAGAAAAACCCCACCCCATCCTCTTCCAGCAGTCCGCTCATCTGAGATCTACAACACTGTACATTGAGGATATTTATAATAATTTTCAAATATAGATGTATTGAATAAAAAAAAAGACAATGTTGAAACCTCCACAATAATGTCAGACTTCCTCATCTGATGTGGAGGGAGCAGCTTGTCTGAGCGTAGCCTTTAGGAGGCAGATCTCAAGTGTGGTCTTGGTTTGCTGCAGTTTGGTCAGAGTCAGTTGTTCCTCTGCCAGATGAAGCTGAACTTCTGTCCAGTCTCTTTTTGCAATTGTTGAAAGTGATTTCAAAAATTTGTTATTCTGTAATCATTGCATGCATCACTAATAAATATTCTAAACACAAAAATATTTTCCATTGTGATGAATTTATATATATATATATATATATATATATATATATATATATATATATATACAAACTCTTTCTACTTTGCTGAAAGGCTAAATACATTAAAGCCTATAATCATTATAGCCTGACAGATCAACAAATAAAATTAAAACCTTATGAATAAATAGTATATCTCGTAAGATACTGCATAATCCAAATATAGATTTATTTAATTTTTTTTTTAAGTTTTCATTACATTTTGGGCATGAAATCCACGCTAAATCCACCCTTCTGATGGGATCAGTTTAATCCAGGTTTTTTGGATCAAAGTGATCCAGATCCTACAAAAAAGGTCTGAAAAACCCAAACTAAAGGTTTGATCCGGATCAAAACCAAGATTGGATTACGTGATCTAATCCGATTATGTAATCCGTTTTTTTTTGAAAAACCCATTTTCAAGATTTGATCCAATCCCTTATCCAAAATCCTAGTGGATTACTTTTGAAAAACCGGGCCCTGGCGCCCAACCCACTCTGTTAGCCAAATACCGCTATTCCTTTAACTCAAGGGAAGTTGTAAAATGGGCCTATTTTTTTTTTTAATTGTAGTGTTCTTTTAAGTACCATATTTTATAAGCATTTCTTGCTTTCACCATTCTGTTCATGAATCTTTTGTGTGTATTTCTTCAGGAAAATTCAGCATTCATCTAATCGCTGTGTGGTGAATCACAAAAAAAATAAATAAATCAAACACTATCTTCTGTAAATCACTTTCATGGGCCAGGCTTTTCTTGATCCATCCCATAATGAACAGGAGAGGAATGTACTGGAGGAAGGAACAAAGAGATCAACCTCACCTCAGATAGACCCGTACATGATCAGAAATGTGCGCAGACTCCACAGCTCCTTCACAGAGTGCGTTGGTCCATACGACACTGCATGTCTTTTTAAATCCATCAATTAATCATTGGGATTTTTAAATATTTTTTTGGCTGTTGAAACTAGAGGAAATCCCAAACCTTTCCTCCCTGCCAACAACAGTCCTGCTTCATGAAGACCACATTAGGTTCCAACTGAAGCAATGAGGTTTCATCTGAAGTTTTACCTGCATTACCTGGTTCTACTGGGTTCCAGCTGTGTAATTTCGACCTATGGCCCAAACCAGAGGGCCCAGAAGACGGGCGATATCCTGCTTGGAGGACTTTTCCCAATGCATTTTGGGGTGGCCTCCAAAGACCAGGATCTTGCAGCACGGCCAGAGTCAACAGAGTGTGTCAGGTACAAAACAAAACATGGTCAGCTTCTCAAAACACATGCGTCTGACGCCATAACCCTCAGTACTGTGGGAATATAAATTTATATTATCTATATATAACTGAAAAGTTGTTTTCAGGGTGTGACAGACCTTAAAATGTCTCGGTTTCAAGCCCTGACGATCTCCAGAGTATTGCAAATTGTCAGTTTCACAGCACGGCTGTGCCTATTGTTTTCCCCAGTTGGTCAACTGATCGGGCGGTTTCTGTCTCCAGGGCCCGGTTTTTCAAAAGGTTTAATCCGGATAAAATTGATCCGGATTTAGTAATCCTGTTTTTGCGATCCGTGATCACGTAATCCAGCTTACTTTTTGAGCCAGATTTTCAAAGCAACATCGGATTGGATCAATCTGATCTGGATAGGAAATCTGGATAACTAGTGCTCAAACAGAATAGGACATCACAATGTAGATCTATAGATATGTAAAGAGTAGAATAGCCAGCATGGGGTCAATATAACTTTATTTTTATTTAAAATGAAAAATAAAATAATATAATAATAATAATAATAAATAATAATAAAAACAAGAAAAACAACACCCCATCCTCTTTAAGCAGTCCGCTCATTTGAGACCTACAACACTGTACATTGAGGATATTTATAATAAGTTTTAAATATAGATGTAAATAAAAAAAAGACTTAAATGTCAAAGACTCCACAATAAGTTCAGACTTCCTCATCTGATGTGGAGAGACCAGCTTGTCTGAGCATAGCCTTTAGGAGGCGGATCTCAAGTCATTGGCCTTGGTTTGCTGCAGTTTGGTCAGAGTCAGTTGTTTCTCTGCCAGACGAAGCTGTGCTTCTGCCCTTTCAGTCTCTTTTTGCAATTGTTGAAAGAGATTTCCAAAATCAGCGATTGCCATTCTTTGCATTTTTTTATTATTCTGTAATCATTGCATGCATCACTAGTAAATATTCTCAAAATAAAAATATTTTCCATAGTGAAGAATATATATATCAATTAGTGAAAGAATAAAATTTATTGTTTTTGGTCAGTTTTTTTACAGCTGTTTGGGGGATTATTTTATGAGGCCAAACTTTTTCTACTTTGCTGTAGGCCTATACTGAAAGGCTGAATACGTTAAAGCCTATACTCACTATAGCCTGACAGATGAACAAATAAAATTAAAACCTTATGAATAAATAGTATATCTCTTAAGATACTGTATGATCCTAAAATAGTATTATTTAATAAATTTTTAAAGTTTTCATTACATTTTGGGCATGAAACCCACGCTAAATCCACCCTTCTGATGGGATCAGTTTAATCCAGGTTTTTTGGATCAAAGTGATCCAGATCCTACAAAAAAGGTCTGAAAAACCCAAACTAAAGGTTTTATCCAGATCAAAACCAAGATTGGATTACGTGATCTAATCCAATTATGTAATCCGTTATTATTATTTTTTTTTTTTGGAAAAACCCATTTTCAAGATTTGATCCAATCCCTTATGCAAAATCCTAGTGGATTACTTTTGAAAACGGCACAGAACATCATTTGCACACTGTTTTAATGCTAACATATATCATAAATGGGTACTTATATGCTGATGAGATCGGGCCTGGAAAGGCATGTTACCCTGCCGACAACAACACTTCATTTGCATGCTTTGTTTGACTGTCCCCACCATGACTGTCCCCACCAACATGTATCAAATGTATTTAAACTGAGTGTCTGTTGGACCAATTATGAGTTACTTTCGATGACGCTACAGCCATGCTGAGTTCTTCTTATTAAAATAATTCAGCTTTGAAGATACCGAAAGTTCTCTCTGGTTTTTTGGGCTCGTCTTAAAATTTCACAACAGTTTGGTGCCGTGAGCCAGAGTAGAGAAGATCACAACAGTAGTTTGCTAAAAACCCTGACTGAATAGTGTTTATAAATGTTATTCAAAGGGATAGTCCACCCAAAAATATCTACTCACCCTCCTTTTTACCAAATCTGAACACGAAAGAAGATATTTTGGACTTCACAGCCCTTCACAACCTTAAATATACCCCATATTATATGCTTTTTCTTTTTCAGATATAACTTCCGTGGATTCCGCTGGCTGCAGTCTATGATCTTCGCTATAGAGGAGATCAATAACAGCTCCACTCTTCTTCCAAACATTACGCTTGGCTACCGTATATTTGACACGTGCAACACTGTCTCGAAAGCGTTGGAGGCGTCACTGAGTTTTGTCGCGCAGAATAAGATTGATTCACTGAATCTGGACGAGTTCTGTAACTGCACAGGGAACATCCCATCAACCATTGCAGTGGTCGGGGCTTCTGGATCTGCAGTGTCTACTGCCGTGGCGGACCTGCTGGGTCTTTTCTACATCCCTCAGGTTGTTATGCATCTCTAAGTGTTTTATTGAAGTAATTATTTTAATTAAAATAAGAAATATGGATAGTAATTGCAGTATGAATAGATTAATTTTGGTGTAGTTTGAGGATGGCATGACTGGGTGTGGAATCATGGGAGTTGTGGTCTTCATTACATCCTATGGGACTCCTGGAGAAATCTTGTTCATGGAAAACCTATTATTATGATAGTATGAAGCAGAGTAAAGGTCTTTGAACACTAAATTATGAAATTTTCATATTGATTTTTTATATTCGTATAAAAAAATATCATTCATTCACAGAAACCCTGCACAGTCATTCATTCTTTCATTCATTTTCCTTCAGCTTAGTCCCTTTATTCTTCAGGGGTCGCCACAGCGGAATGAACCGCCAATTTATCCAGCATATGTTTTACACAGCGGATTCCCCTCCAGCTGCAACCAGTAATGCATATTAATTGCAAAAATAAATTAATTAATTAAAAATAGCAAAACAATTCAGAGTCAGTTCAAGCAGTGATGTGGCTAATCCAATCCATTGCATGACGAGGAAGGAAAGTTCACCTCCTTATCAAAATGCTATGCAGGATTATCCCGAAATTCAAACTTTATGTTTGGAAATCAGTGGCATTTTGATATTTCGCTTGCAGTAGGTCTACTGCATATCTGTCAACCCTCCCGTTTTTCCCGGGATTCTCCCATATTTTATAGTCCTATCCGCCCTATCATCCCGTAAAGGTATTTCTCTCGTATTTTCAGTCTTTCACTGAAGGGTGGTAAATAAACATTAAAGAGCCGAGCCTCCCTATACTCAACCCATACCACCGAACCACCAGGGGCCGCCCCTTGCTCTTATATGTGAGTCACTTCTGTGCTTTCGCTTTGTTTAGGCATGAAAACACTTTGAAATAAACATAGAAACGTCGCGATTCCCTTCCTTTTCATTACAAGTGCCGTCTTACCTTCATATGCAATCCTCAAAACAGTCATATAGCGGTGCGTGACTGTCCTAATATTAACATCTTATGTTGGGAATGCTGCTCTGTGGAGTCTTATAAACACACAACATATTAAAGCGGCTGTTTCCCTGCTTTAGTGACAATTCAAAACTGCTTATTTCTCTGCATTTAAAATTCTTTACAACATTTGTACAAAACAAGTACAAAAGTCAGTTAAATATACAATATCGTTCTAGTAGTATTTGAATATCTTCATGAAGAAATCTTACATATTGTGCCTTTTAAAATCAGTTATAAAAATAAACGAATGGTTCTGAATAAATGATGTACTTCTGAAGTCCAACTTTGTGACCTTTTGAAAAAGAGCTGCGTAGATAGACGGAAATATGAGCATCCTTTATGGGTAATTTTTTTCCAACTATTTCTCTTTTCTACTGTCTCTCAGATTAGCTATGCTTCATCCAGCCGCCTTTTGAGCAACAAAAACCAGTACAAATCCTTCATGAGGACAATCCCTACAGACGAGTACCAGGCGATTGCCATGGCTGCCATCATCGAGCACTTCCAGTGGAACTGGGTGATTGCTATCGCCTCTGACGACGAATACGGCCGGCCAGGCATTGAAAAGTTTGAGAATGAAATGTTTCACCGGGACATCTGCATTGACCTCAATGTTTTAATTTCACAGTACGTTGACGAAGCTGAGATTCGTCGCCTGGCAGATCGCATCCAGAACTCATCCGCCAAGGTAATTGTTGTGTTTGCTAGCGGACCAGATATCGAGCCGTTAGTTAAAGAGATGGTGAGACGAAACATCACAGACCGCGTCTGGTTGGCGAGCGAAGCATGGGCCAGTTCCAGTCTAGTCGCCAAACCAGAGTATCTTGACGTCATGGGAGGAACCATTGGCTTTGCTCTGAGGGCTGGACATATACCCGGCTTTAAAGACTTCTTACAGCAGGTCCATCCAAAGAAGTCAAGCCATAATGAATTTGTGCGAGAATTTTGGGAGGAGACGTTCAACTGTTATCTTGAAGACAGCCCAAGGAATGCTGATAGTGAGAATGGCAGTACGAGTTTCAGGCCGCTGTGTACTGGGGAAGAGGACATTGCCAGTGTTGAGACGCCATATTTGGACTACACGCACCTCAGGATTTCCTATAACGTGTATGTGGCTGTTTATGCCATAGCACAGGCACTTCAGGACATACTTACCTGCACTCCAGGGAAAGGATTGTTTTCTAATGGCTCTTGTGCAGATATTAGGAAAGTTGAAGCTTGGCAGGTGAGCTGTTTATAAGAAATTATCATATAAACATATTAAATGTTATTAATTACTCTTGAATTAATCTTAAATTACACAATAAAATGTTATAAATTCCATTTTGTTCCAATCCAAACCTTTGTTCATCTTAAGTGAAATCCAAGAGCTCTCTCGTCCTTCATAGACCAGAGATGTTCAACGTCCAGAAAAGGAACCAAAAACATTGTCAAAACAGTCCATGTGACTTCAGTGGTCCAATTGGTTACTGTCACCATCACCAGCAATCTAGCAGTCCAGTCACTGGAGAACCACTAATCTGCCACTAATATGAACTACAAATACCACCATGCACCACTCGCACACACCAGTTCCAGTTCTCTCCTTGATTGCAAACACACAGCTGAAGCTTGTAAAGAGTCATTACCAGGACTATAAATACACCTCACTCACACACACGTTGCCGAGTCTTGTTCACTGTTATCATAACGAAGCATCTTGCCTGTGTTTTTTTTACCTTTGTTTGTTTTATTATTATGCTGTTATGCTGCCTTTCCTGACCATTTGCCTGTTATTTTGACCACATTCTTTGAATCACCCTCATGCTCCAGTTTGTACCCGTTAGACCAATGCCTGCCTGACTACTCTAGATTGTTAAACTGAATGCGGATCTTCATCTCTGTTGTCCCAGACTCTTATGTAACACATACGAAACGCCAAGAAATATTTCAAGAGTTCCCACTTAGATATGCTTGGCATTTATAGTAGGTTTGGCATGCTGTCCAGGGAGAGAACCCTGAGCTCGGAGATATTTGAGCCCAGGGCTCCCGCCCGGTCTAGAAGCATATCAGGTGAACCGAGATCAGGTAGGTCTCGATCGATCCCCCTTTAGAAGGGGAGAAAAAGGAGGAGATGGGGTGGAAGGGGGAATTCTTCCAAAAAGAAGGATTATTACTGATTACGGATGAGTGGCCAGCGGTGCACAATCATATCACGTGCTCCTCTTGAAATTAGTTTATGAAACTTCACTTTGTGAGGCAAGGTTTTGCGAAAACAAATTTGTTTGCTTTTGTCTTCTTGTCTGCAAAAGGTCAGGGTGTGCTTTTACTATAGACAATACAATGTATTGCCATTAGATTCAGAATCATACAAACATACAAAAGTTAAATTATTCGCAATAATAACAGACCCTAATCTGAAATGAAAGACAAAGGCAAACAAAGTTGTTTAAATATTTTTTGGTGCACAAATGTGTTCTTGGAGCTTCGTAGGAGTACACTTGAACCACTGAAGACACATTGAATGTCTTTATTCTTAGTGGTTCCTTTTCTGGACTTGAAATGTCTTGGGATTCTTGCTGTCTATGCAGGATGAGAGAGCTCCAGGATTTCATCTAAAATTTCTCAATTTGTGTTCTGAAGATGAACAAAGGTCTCAGGAGACTGAAACAGCATGAGGATGAGCATTTAATAACAGAATTTCCATTTTTGCGAAATCTAATCTGTATTATTTTTGATATTTAAAGGTTCTGAAACAACTAAGACACCTCAACTTCATAGATAGCATGGGGGAGAGAGTGCGCTTTGACAACGGCAGTGAGCTTTCAGCCAATTATACCATCATAAACTGGCATCGATCACCCGAGGATGGGTCTGTCGTATTCAAGGAGGTTGGCTATTACAGTATACATAACAAGAACGTGGCCAAGCTTTCCATTGACAAGAGCAAAATCCTGTGGAACGGACGTCTAACTGAGGTAAGTAATCCTTAAATTTATTAGCACTTAGATTAGAGCAAAAGTTATTTACTTAACTAATGGAGCATGTTGGATTAAATGAGGTAATGTGTTGTTTCTCTTTTCTCTACCAGGTACCATTTTCCAACTGTAGTGTGGAATGTGAACCTGGAACAAGGAAAGGAATTATTGATGGCGAACCCACATGTTGCTTTGAGTGTACAGAATGCTCGGATGGGGAGTACAGTGATCATAAAGGTCAGCGAATGTATTGTGGGCCAGAAATAATTCCAAACAGTAAACTGACAACCACAAATGTTAGTCAGTTATGTTGTGTGAATCATTTAAATACTCACCATCAAGAAATGTTTACATCTAAAAGGGAAATGCATATGCAAAAACAAAATATCTAGAAGCACCTTCTCATCACTAGTCCTGGTAGTAGTTTTGAGGGCAAGTTGCTTGGCAAGTTTATGAAGTAGCAACTTGGGACCAGAGTTACAAAATAGGGCAAAACTACAATCCCATAAGTTTGCTAATTAGTGTGGAAAGTTTGGTGAGTAGTCCACTGACATTGTGTAAATTAAAGAACACAAGCAGCAGCTCATTTTTATAGATAAGTAACTTGTTTTATATATAAAAAAAACTCCATTGTTGAATGACAAAACAAACCATATGCATTAGCTAGTTGAGCACATTAGCTAGTGCAAAAGCATATACAGTATGTGTATAGTACGATAGTACAGTAATTTGGGACACGCTATAGACAGTTTTGGGACTGATAGGATTTCAGCACTTTTTAATTTATGTGGGATGAATCTGACAACTAATCAATGACATGCAGATAATATCACAGGGTTTATCTGTAATCAAACACGTCTAACCAGCTAATCAAGGTTTTATGGGTTAGAGCAATGATGGAAACGAAGTCTACAGGAATGTAGGGGGGTTTATACAGTAATAAACTGCGGTCAAACTGCACTGTTTGCCCCATAGACTTCCATTCATATGTACAGTGAATGCGTCAGAGCGGAAATGCAAGCTTGTGTGACAAGTTTAGCAGTTTGCTGAGTTACAAAGTTCAAGCTTGGTGAACTCTGACCTGCGATATTGCATCAGAAAACTGCGTGAGACGATTGGAAAAGCGAAACAAAAATTTAACATGGACCAATCGCTCACTTTTTAAAAATGTTTAATCATCTTGTTTAATCCCGCCCCTTTTCGCAGCACTGTACGACAGAATTTTGCATGCTTAAAATCTAGTGTGACTGCGGCATTACATTCATTTTTTTGAAAAAAAAATTACATTTTGAGAAATATTTATTATGTTTTGAGATAAAACATTACATTTCAAGAAAAAAAATATTGTTTTGAGGACAAAACATTACATTTTAAGGTAACATTTTTTATGTTTTGAGAAAAAGCATTACATTTTGAGAAAAAAATTTTTTTTGAAGAAATATTACATTTTAAGGTAAAATAAATATGTTTTGAGAAAAAAGCATTACATTTTGAGAAAAAATAATTATGTTTTGAGAAAAAGCATTACATTTTGAGAAAAAAAAATTAAGAAAAAAACTACATTTTGAGAAAAATTTATTGTTTTGAGAAAACCATTACATTTTAAGGTAAAATAAATATATTTTGAGAAAAAAACATTATATTTTGAGAAAACTTATTTTTTATTATATATTATATATATTTTATATTATATATATATATATATATAATATTTGTTATGTTTTGAGAAAAGACCTTACATTTTGAGCAAAAGTTATTGTTTTGACAAAAAAACTCATAAAATTTAGAGAAAGAAAGTTGTTTTGAGAAAACCCCCAAAATGTAGAGAATAAAGTGGTTATTTCACCAAAAACAAAGTAAAAATTTAAAGTATAAGTTATTATACTTCAAAAAAACTCATCACTCATCATAAACAATATAACACCATTTTCTTAGATCTGTGAATATACAAGGGGTGCTCAAAGCAAATATCATTGAGAGCCGTAGACCAAAAGTTAAAATTGTCATTATAATATCCTAATTTATTTCCGAATATTTAAAAATAAATGGAAAACATTACTTTAAATCATATTAAATAATGTAATTTTTAAAATTATAACTCTTTGAAATAAATCATTTACTATAAAAACAAACAATTTATTACACTGTGGGGTTCTATGCTGAATACACTAGTCAAGCAGAATCTGCCATTGCCTTCATTTGCTCACTGATGTCTCTGATTTGTCCTCTATTCGTCGGGTAACAGTATGTACACTTAAAAATAAAAAAAAATCTGATTCATTTATTTGAAACATTTAATTTCAGTCAGCCTTTTTTTTTTAGCTTTTTAACAGAGCAAACAAACAAATAAACGAGATATTGCAGTCTCTAAACCATCCCCATCATTATCTCTCTGTTTCCAGATGTGATGGTGGGTTAAATCAAAGGTTACCATGGGCCAACTTTAGTAGTTTGGCTATCTCTGGTACACATCAATGTGGTCATGTCATTGCCCTATGAACATTTCCTGCTTGTTATCAAACTATTTCATAACTGTAACAAGAGGCAATTCAATTATAACTTTATGTTAAAACAGCTATCATAACATTTTTTAATCAACATGTGGCTCTATTTGGATTCTTGGAAGCTATAGAAATTAAAAATGTAGAACAGAAACTACGTTGGGACCTTTGTTTTTGTTTACATCACTCAAAATGGCCTATAAAAGGGATGGTTTTTAATGCGTTGTTGTGTTTTGACATCAGTTTTCTGATAGTTTTTTATTTTATTTTATAATATAAAAAATAATTATGTTTTGAGAAAAAAAAATTACATTTTGAGAAACATTTTTTATATTTTGAGAAAAAACATTACATTTTGAGAAAATGTATTTTTTATTATATATTATATAAATTTTATATATTATATATATAAAATATTTGTTATGTTTTGAGAAAAGACCTTACCTTTTGAGCAAAAGTTATTGTTTTGAGAAAAAACTCATAAAATTTAGAGAGAAAAAAAAGTTGTTTCGAGAAAACCCCCAAAATGTTTGTGATGTGATTGAGATTCTTGGAAGCTATAGAAATTAAAAATGTAGAACAGAAACTTCGTTGGGACCTTTGTTTTTGTTTACATCACTTAAAATGGCCTATAAAAGGGATGGTTTTTAATGCGTTGTTGTGTTTTGACATCAGTTTTCTGATTGTTTTTTATTTTATTTTACTTTTCTCCACAGATGCCAGTTTTTGCGTTAAATGCCCAAACAACTCCTGGTCCAACGGCAATCACACTTCTTGCTTTCTGAAGCAAATCGAGTTTCTGTCCTGGACCGAACCGTTCGGGATTGCGCTGGCCTTATTTGCAGTCCTCGGGGTTCTCCTAACAGCTTTTGTGTTGGGTGTTTTTGTGCAATTCCGTGATACTCCAATCGTGAAGGCATCAAACCGAGAGCTGTCGTTTCTTTTGCTTTTCTCGCTTATATGCTGTTTCTCCAGCTCTCTCATATTCATAGGCGAACCACAGGATTGGACGTGCCGGGTACGCCAACCAGCATTCGGCATCAGCTTTGTGTTATGCATCTCATGCATTCTAGTCAAAACCAATCGTGTCCTGCTGGTGTTCGAAGCTAAAATCCCTACGAGTCTCCACCGTAAGTGGTGGGGATTAAACCTGCAGTTCTTGCTAGTCTTCTTGTTCACGTTTGTGCAGGTGATGATCTGCGTGGTTTGGTTGTACAACGCTCCGCCTGGAAGTTACAAGAACTACGACATCGATGAAATCATCTTCATCACCTGCAACGAGGGCTCCATGATGGCTCTGGGGTTTCTGATTGGCTACACGTGCTTGTTGGCCGCCATCTGTTTTTTCTTCGCGTTCAAGTCTCGGAAGCTGCCGGAGAATTTCACGGAGGCCAAATTCATAACGTTCAGCATGCTGATTTTTTTCATCGTCTGGATCTCCTTTATTCCGGCGTACTTCAGCACTTACGGCAAATTCGTCTCGGCTGTTGAGGTCATAGCAATCCTGGCGTCCAGCTTCAGTTTGCTTGCCTGTATCTTTTTCAACAAGGTGTATATCATTCTTCTGAAACCGTCGAGGAATACGATCGAGGAGGTGCGCTGTAGCACTGCGGCTCACGCCTTTAAAGCTGCAGCAAAAGCGACTTTACGACACAGTTCAGGCTTTAGAAAGAGATCCAGCAGTGTTGGCGGCTCCTCCGCATCTTCGCCCTCCTCATCCATCAGCATGAAGACCAACGGGAATGAAATGGAGTCACCGTCTACGCGGAGACACGGCTCAAAACCGAGGGTGAGCTTTGGAAGTGGGACGGTCAGTCTCTCCTTGAGCTTCGAGGAGGCTAGAAACTCGATGAAATGATTGACAAGAACAGCTCTGTGCGTGACTGGTTTGTACATTCACTGCTGTGTAAATGTTGTCATTGGATCAAGGATGGGTTTGGCATTGTAAGCAGTGGCTGTGTTGTTGAATCCATCTGCAAATAATTTTTTTCCCTTAAAGTTTTCGGACTATTTTTTGTGGACAATGTGAAATGGGTATTGTTCTCTGATGAGTGACTGTCTTTACCACATCTGGGGAAGTTACGGTGTAGAGAAGCCCCAAAAAAGTGTACCTACCAGACAGATGCATGCCCAGGGTGAAGCATGGGGGTGGATCAGTGATGGTTTGGGCTGCAATATCATGGCATTCCCTGGTTCCATAGTTGAATTTGTCTGCAAATATATATATATATATATATATATATATATATATATATATATATATATATATATATAAACAGTTGAAGTCAGAATTATTAACCCCCCTGAATTATTAGTTCCCTGTTTATTTTTTTTCCCAATTTCTGTTTAATGGAGGGAAGATTGTTTCAGCACATTTCTAAGCACAATAGTTTTAAAAACTTATTTCTAAAAACTGATTTATTTTCTCTTTGCCATGATGACAGTAAATAATATTTTACTTGATATTTTTCCATACACTTCTATACAGCTTAAAGTGACATTTAAAGGCTTAACGAGGTTAATTAGGTTAACTAGGCAGGTTAGAGTAATTAGGCAAGTTGTTGTATAACAATGGTTTGTTCAATCAATCAATCAATCAATCAAAGCTTTTTTTTTAGCCGAAATAAAACAAATAAGACTTTCTCCAGAAGAAAAAATATTATCAGACATACTTTGAAAATTTCCTTGCTCTGTTAAAAATCATTTGGGAAATATTAAAAAAAGAAAAAAAAATTAAAAGGGGGCTAATAATTCTAACTTCAACTGTATGTATGTGTATGTATATATATATATAAATATAAATATATATATATATATATATATATATATATATATATATATATATATATATATATATATAAAAGCAAAAACCTCTCACAGTTTTCAGGACTATTTTTTGTGGACAATGTAAAATGTGTATTGTTCTCTGATGAGTCCACCTTCACTGTCATTTCCACATCCAGGACAGTTATGGTGTGGAGAAGCCCCAAAGACAGCGTACCGCCCAAACTGTTGCATGCTCAGAGTAAAACATAGGGCTAGATTTGGGCTGCACTATCATGGCATTCTCTAGTTTAATAGTTGAGTCCATCTGTAAATTATTTCTTTGCTTAAAAGCCAGAAAAATTAAGCAAGAACCTCTCCTAGATTTCAGGACAATTGTTTTGTGGACAATGTGAAATGTGTATTGTTCTCTGATGAGTCCACCTTCACTGTCATTCCCACATGCAAGAGAGTTACGGTGTGGAGAAGCCCCAAAGAAAGTGTACCGCCCAAACAGATGTATGCCCAGAGTGAAGTGTGGGGTTGGGTTTGGGCTGCACTATCATGGCATTCCCTAGTTCAATTGTTGAATTCGTCTGTAAATATTTTTTTGCTTCAAAGACAGTACTGAAAAAAAAATGTAGCAAGAATCACTCTCAGTTTTCAGGACTAATTTTGTGGACAATGTGAAATGGGTATTGTTTTCTGATGAGTCACCTTCACTGTCTTTCCCACATCTGGGAGAGTTATGGTGTGGAGAAGCCCCCAAAGAGCGTTCCACTCAGACAGATGAATGCCCAGAGTAAAGCATGGGGGTGGATTTGGACTGCAATATCATGGCATTCCCTAATTCAATAGTTGAATCCGACTGTAATTTATTTATTTATTTTTGCTTAAAAGCTGGAACTGAAAAAAATGAAGCAAGAACCTCTCCCAGTTTTCAGGACTTTTTTTTGCACAATGTGAAACGTGTATTTTTCTCTGATGAGTCCACCTTCACTGTCTTCGCACATCTTGGGAGAGTTACGGTGTGGAGAAGCCCCCAAAAGCATACCAGCCAGATAGATGTATGCGCAGAGTGAAGCATGAGGCTGGATCACTGATGGTTTGGGCTGCAATATCATGGCATTCCCTAATTCAATAGTTTAATCTGTCTCCAATTTTTTTGGGCTTAAAAGACACAACAGAAAAAAATGAAGCAAGAACCCCTCCCAAATTTCAAGTCAATTTTTTGTTGACAGTTTGAATGCGTTTTGTTCTGTAATGAGTCCACCTTTAATGTCATTCCCACATCCAGGAGAGTTATGGTGTGGAGAAGCTCTGAAGAAGTGTACCACTTAGACAGATGTATGCGCACTTGCGCAGAGTGAAGCATGTGGGTGGATTTGGGCTGCAGTATCATGGCATTACCTAGTTCAATAGTTGAATTCATCCGCAAATAATTTTTTGGCCTAAAAAAGACAGAACTAAAAAAAAAAAAAAGAAGCAAGAACTTCTCCCAGTTTTCGGATTTTTATTTTGTGGACAATGTGAAATGTGTATTACTCTCTAAGAAGCCCACCTTCGACCTTCGATGGGAGAGCTACGGTGTGGAGAAGCCCCAAAGAAGTGTACCACTCAGACAGATGCATGCCCAGAGTAAAGCATGGAGGTGGATTTAAACTACAGTATCACGGCATTCCCTAGTTCAATAGTTGAATCCGTCTGCAAATATTTTTTTTTGCTTAAAATCCAGAACTGAAAAAAAAACAATGAAGCAAGAACCTCTCCCAATCTTCAGTCTAAGGACTACTAATCTGTCACAACAATTCCAGGACTCAATATAGCACAATAGTCTTTTGCATGCAATGTCTTTAATGAGCTATGTTTCCATCCAAAGATGTAATTTAGACTGCAATATCACAAAACATTTGTGAATAAAGCACCGTTTCCATCCATTGTGTTAAAGAGAACAAAATAGTCACTCCCTAATAAACCGGTGCCAAATATCCACAACAGAAATTGAGTTTGCAACAGTTGAAGAAGCCACCGCGGGCCTTTTATCTTATATAATAAATGACTTGCGTCTCAGAAGATAAATATGAAACTCAATGAACATGCAAATAAATGCATGAAACTCAATGAAAAGTTGTCCCTTCTTTCTAATATTTTACATTCATAAATGTTTGGACCTCTTCGTCCACATAAATGTCAATCAAAGGCGGCAACAGCAAGGCTCCAAAAATACAAATTTATTAAGTAAATTATTTATTAATAAATTTATTATTAATACATTTGTATTTTTGGAGCCTTGGTGTTGCCGCCTTTGATTGACATTTATTTGCACTATTTGCAGTTTTGGCTGAGCACCAAATTTAGAGAGACGTGCGTGCTTTTGTGCAGTTTTTTCAGACCTCTTCATCCACCCAAATATACCTGTGAACATCTGTAAAGTTTTTTCTGCACATTTTACGAGATTTATGCACATGTTGACATTGCCATTAAGCAATTGTTCTATGCTATATTCCAACATATGAAATAGGTGGATGGAAACATAGCTCTGTGCATTTATTATTTTCATTCAGTTTAAGGCATCTGGGAAATGTCTTCAATGTAACACAGATGCAAAATAAACATCTCATTTCTAGTTCCTTATTACTGGTGTATGTCTCCAGTTTACATTTGAACTGCATCAAAACTGGCTTCGTTTGAGAAACACATTTTAAATGTCATTTTAAAAGTATACAGTGTTTTTTACATAATTTTCCCCCCCAAATATTTCTCAAAAAAAAAAAGTGTGTTAAGGTCTTAAGTAATATAACTTCACAAGTATCGTTGCTATTTTTAATCAGTCTTAATCTAACTTTAATTTAAAATGAAATGCCGTCAAAGTGGCATCTTTTCGGAGCTGAAAAAAAAAGAAGAAGAAAAAAGCAGAGAAAGAAAAGCAAGCTCAAAGTAAAGGTGTTTTATAATAAATTATTTAGGAGTACTTGTCAATACTTTGCAATACTTGCAAACTTATTTGTTTAAATATGAGTAAATATTTGTATATATTTATTATAGGTTAAGTATGTTACAGCTAATAAAAATGTGTACACCTAAATATTTAAATTGTATTTTTTTGTTTTTGTTTTGTGCGTTCTTCTCTGATTTTACACCAGTGGGCCCAGTTTTTATTTATTTATTTATTTATTTATTTTATTTTAAATTTTTTTATCTCGCCTATGGTCCCCCAGCCCTACGGGCCAGCCCCCAACAGTGCCAATAAACAGCCATATCACACTGCCACTCGTGTGATATTGCTTATAAGGGCCATTCTTCAACTATGGGCACTTTTAGCCTTGCAAAGTTGAGTAAAAAAAACTTGTTCAAAAGTAGCTTAACTTTTAAACAGTTAATAAGTTTAAACAGTTATAAGTAATAAGTTTAAACATAAGTTTAAACAGTTTGTCTTGTTTTAGATAAGAAGAGAAACATTTTTTTCCATCGTGAACTGAACAAATGTCAATTCCAGCACATCTCAATATACTGCTTATTTCACAATGATATAAATGATGGCCGTCAAACACTGTCTAAAATCATTTTAGTATCTAGTTTAACCAATCTTTCCACAATATATATAATAGTTACACATTTGTCAATGAAATAAATTAGTTGTATGCTGAGCTGTACACCTGTCACACTCTAAAATTTAATATTAATTCGGTTAAGAGCTTATTAGAAAATAAATAAACTAAATTTGTACATTAACTAGAGCAGGAACTCATACATTGTGAATACACTTTTAATGTGTGATGAGAACTTTTTAAATATTTTTTTAAAATGTGTGTGGTGTTGGAAATGACAGTGGTGGAAATGACATGTCTACAGTTTATCGTGAATAAATGAAAAAGAGCTTCACCGATTCGCTTTGAATTGAGACTAGCCTTTCATGTCTACAAAACACTCTTATTTACCTTCATATAGTTTGGTTTAGTTTTTAAAAGCATCTTTGAAGATACAGCATGTTCGGAAATGATGTAGAATAAATGTATTTCCTTATCAAGCAATATTTACCTTGATTTTTCTTCAAGTGTTGTTGATGAAAATGTAAATTCCCTCCATCTTGAAGATGTTCTCAGATGTCACTATTCATTTTCAGAGAAACAACCTAAATAATCTCACACAAACTTTGTAAAGCGACATTACAGTGTTGTGCTGGAAATGACACTGATACTGTACCACAGCTATATTTCGTATACAAAATAATTTTGATAATAGTCTCACATTAATAACTATAAAATATTTAACTTATTTCACTAGTGCTTCATTAAGAAACATTAATAGATACCAGATAAACAATCTTTTAAAATGGTATTTTCATTGAAGTTTAAAACTCTGGGTGTGTGACAAGGTGAAAACACTGATTTCGACATCTAAAAGGAGGTTGAATAATATAAAAAAAAGGTATAATAGAAAGGTAGTAAATATTTTTAAAGTAGGTTTTATTATTAGTTTGACAAAGAAAGAGGAACTTGAACAAAATTATATATATTTTTGGAAATATGATCAAAGGACATAAAAATTCCCGTAGTTGAAGAATTACCCTTACATAGGCTAATGTTGTAAAGTAAATACTTATCGAGTAACCAAGACAAAGTAATTAATTTAATTGTAACTTAATTTGTAATTTAAATGTAACTTTAAGTAACTTACCCAACACTGCTCTTTGCTAGCCTTGCTAAAGATGCTAAACAAACCAACTGTTAGAAGGGATACCACTGCGACCGCAAGTTAACGATAATTATTTATATTATGTAATAAATTATCACAGTAATGTCAGAACAGTAAATATACCGAGTATTATTCATATTATTTATTAAATTACCCATTAAATTGTATTGTATTAACATCTACCCCTACCCCAACCCTCACAATAATGTCAGAACAGTAAATATATTAGTATTATTATTCACATTATTTAATAAATGACCCATTAGATTGTATTTTTTTAAAGTTTACCTCAACCCTTAACCCCTGCCCCTCACAGTATTTCAAAAATATTTAAAATGATATTAAAATTATTGTTGGACAGTGTCACAAAAGTGATCAGCAAAGGTATCATCGACAGAATGGTTAGTCTTGTGCCAGCAGGTGTCGCGATGCTCATCCAGCCTCCTCCAGAGTCTCCAGCCAATGACGTCCCTTCCAGCGTCTGTATTTGCGGAAATGCCGAGTGTAATCCTTACAGCGGTGGGATTGAGCGGAAGGTACAGCTGCTTTTACAGCCGTAAGTCTTTTAAACCTTTATTTAGAGTCTACCTTTTTGTTCACCATGTATTTGCGCTCTCTCATTCTCGTTTAAAATCATTCAAGAAGTGTGTACTTAGCGTGTGGATAGATAGCTCAGTTATTAAGCTAACCTTAAATCGCTAGATTATTGTCGAATGTGCGTCCATGTTCCTAAATCACGCTGTCAGATAGTCCAATGACTAGCTTTAATATGACTAATTAATACACAAAAGCTGTTTAAGCTGTGTTCAGAATTGAACTCATATCAGACAAGTTAATATAAGGAGTGTTAGCTACAAGTCACTTTTCCTAAATGGATATACAGGTGATTTAGGACACAATCTGTATTTGAAACGTGATTTCAAGAAGTATTTGACTTAATTGTTGATTTTAAGAAATGTGGAACACAAAAACAGCTCAAGCTGTGTTCAGAACTGAATCTATATCAAACTATCTGATATTAAGAAGTGTTAGATACAAGTCACTTTACCTATGATAGAGGACACAAACTATATTTTAAACATGATTTCCAGAAGTATTTGACCTTATAGGTGATTTTAAAAATTATAAACCAATGTTAACACGAAAACATTGCTAGCTGTGTTCAGAATTGAATTTATATCCAACAAATTAATATTAAGAAGTGTTATTGAGGTCAAGGTGGTTTTATATTCACACCTTTGTTTGTTGTTTAACAGTGAATACTTGTGACATGACATGTTGATTATTGGGTCTGAAATAGCATGCAACTTAATGACTTAATGCACTATTTAAATGACTGAACATTGTTGGACTTTGATAGTCATTGGCTGCTAAATGATTTCCCTGTTTAGCATTAGGAAAGAATACATTTCTGAGAAAGTTCAAATTAAACTATGTAGTTACCGTTTCACAACCTGTCTGTGCTCAAAAATGAACGAATGTTCTAATGTAAAACCAACTTTACCCCAATAAAAGTGTTAAGTCACTTTTCCTACATTAATATATAGGGAATTTAGGACACAAACTACATTTTAAACGTGATTTAAAGAAGTATTTGATCTAGTTGATTTTGAACCGATGTTAACAGAAAAATATTGTTAGTTTTGTCAAGAACCGAAACTACAGTATATCCAACAAATTAATATTAAGAAGTGTTAGATACAAGCCACTTCACCTATAATTCATATTTTAAACAGGTTTTCAAGACGTTGCAATGAAGTATTTGACATAATTGTTGATTTTTAAGAAATGTGGAACACAAAAACAGCTCAAGCTGTGTTCAGAACTGAATCTATATCAAACTAACTGATATTAAGAAGTGTTAGATACAAGTCACTTTACCTATGATAGAGGACACAAACTATATTTTAAACATGATTTCCAGAAGTATTTGACCTTACAGGTGATTTAAAAAATTATAAACCAATGTTAACACGAAAACATTGCTAGCTGTGTTCAGAATTGAATTTAAATCCAAAAAAATTAATATTAAGAAGTGTTATTGAGGTCAAGGTGGTTTTATATTCACACATTCGTTTGTTGTTTAACAGTGACAACTTGTGACATGACATGTTGATTATTGGGTCTGAAATGGCATGCATCTTAATGCACTATTTAAATGACTGAACAATGTTGGACTTTGATAGTCATTGGCTGCTAAATGATATCCTTGTTTAGCATTAGGAAAGAATAAATTTCTGAAAGCAGAAAGTTTAAATTAAACTATGTAGTTACCGTTTCACAACCTGTCTCTGCTCAAAAATGAACGAATGTTCTAATATAAAACCAACTTTACCCCAATAAAAGTGTTAAGTCACTTTTCCTACATTAATATATAGGGAATTTAGGACACAAACTACATTTTTTATGGGATTTCAAGAAGTATTTGACCTAATAGTTGATGTTAAGAAATGTTGAACCGGTGTTAACACAAAATATTGTTAGTTTTGTTCAGAGCTGAATCTACAGTATATCGAGCAAATTAATATTAAGAAGTATTAGATACAAGCCACTTCACCTATAATTCATATTCTAAACAGGTTTTCAAGACGTTGCAATGAAGTATTTGACATAATTGTTGATTTTAAGAAATGTGGAATTTAAAAACTGCTTAAGCTGTGTTCAGAACTGAATCTATATCAAACTAACTGATATTAAGAAGTGTTAGATACAAGTCACCTTACCTATAATAGAGGACACAAACTATATTTTAAACATGATTTCCACACATATTTGACCTTACAGGTGATTTTAAAAATTATAAACCGATGTTAACACGAAAACATTGCTAGCTGTGTTCAGAATTGAATTTATTTCCAACAAATTAATATTAAGAAGTGTTATTGAGGTCAAGGTGGTTTATATTCTCACATTCGTTCGTTGTTTAACAGTGACAACTTGTGACATGACATGTTGATTATTGGGTCTGAAATAGCATGCAACTTAATGCACTATTTAAATGACTGAACAATGTTGGACTTTGATAGTCATTTGCTGCTAAATGATTTCCTTGTTTAGCATTAGGAAAGAATAAATTTCTGAAAGCAGAAAGTTCAAATTAGACTATGTAGTTACCGTTTCACAACCTGTCTCTGCTCAAAAATGAACGAATGTTCTAATATAAAACCAACTTTACCCCAATAAAAGTGTTAAGTCACTTTTCCTACATTAATATATAGGGAATTTAGGACAAAAACTACATTTTTTATGGGATTTCAAGAAGTATTTAACCTAATAGTTGATGTTAAGAAATGTTGAACCGGTGTTAACACAAAAAATATTGTTAGTTTTGTTCAGAACTGAATCTATATCCAGCAAATTAATATTAAGAAGTGTTAGATACAAGCCACTTCACCTATAATTCATATTTTAAACAGGTTTTCAAGACGTTGCAATGAAGTATTTGACATAATTGTTGGTTTTAAGAAATGTGGAACACTAAAACTGCTTAAGCTGTGTTCAGAACTGAATCTATATCAAACTAACTGATATTAAGAAGTGTTAGATACAAGTCTCTTTACCTATGATAGAGTACACAAACTATATTTTAAACATGATTTCCACACATATTTGACCTTATGTAATTTAAAAAATTATAAACCGATGTTAACACGAAAACATCGCTAGCTGTGTTCAGAATTGAATTTATATCCAACAAATTAATATTAAGAAGTGTTATTGAGGTCAAGGTGGTTTTATATTCACACATTCGTTCGTTGTTTAACAGTGACAACTTGTAAAATGATATGTTGATTATTGGGTCTGAAATAGCATGCAACTTAATGACTTGTTGCACAATTTAATTGACTGAACAATGTTGGACTTTGATAGTCATTGGCTGCTAAATGATTTCCTTGTTTAGCATTAGGAAAGAATAAATTTCTGAAAGCAGAAAGTTCAAATTAAACTATGTAGTTACCGTTTCACAACCTGTCTCTGCTCAAAAATGAACGAATGTTCTAATATAAAACCAACCTTACCCCAATAGAAGTGTTACAAGTCACAAGTCCCGTTACCTATTATTCATTCATTCATTTTCTTTTTGGCTTAGTCCTGTTATTAATCTGGGGTCGCCACAGCGGAATGAACTGTCAACTTGTCCAGCATATGTTTTACGCAGCGAATGCCCTTCCAGCTGCAACCCATCACTGGGAAACACCCATACACTCTCATTCACACACATACACTACGGACAATTTTAGCTCACCCACTTCACCTGTGCAGCATGTCTTTGGACTGTGGGGGGAGCCCACGCGAACGCGGGGAGAACATGCAATCTCCACACAGAAATGCCAACTGACCCAGCTGAGGTTCAAACCAGCGACCTTCTTACTGTGAGGCGACAGCATTACCTACTGCGCCACCGCGTCGCCCACTTCTTCTATCATTCACATAGAAATGCTTTAGGACACTATGTATATTTTAAATGTGATTTAAAGAAGTATTTGACCTACTAGTTGATTTTATAAAAAGCTAAACCATTGTCAACACAAATAAATTGTTAGCTGTGTTCAGAATTGAATCCATATCATACTAATTCTTATTAAGAAGTGTTAAGTCACTTTTGCTAGATTAATATATCGGTGCTTTAGGACACAAACTATATTTTTAAACAGGATTTCAAGAAGTCTTTGACCTAATTGGTTATTTTAAGAATATTGAACCGATGTTAACACAAAAATATTGTTAGCTGTGTTCAGAACTAAATATTTATTGAGCAAATTAATATTAAGAAAGGTTAGCTAGAAATCACTTTTCCTAAATTCATACACGGGTGCTTTAAGACATAAACTATATTTTAAACGTTATTTTCGAGAAATATTTGACCTAATAGTTGATTTTAAGAAATGCTAAACCAACGTTAACACGAAAACATTGTTAGCTGAGATCAGAATTGAGGCCATATTAAACAAATAAAAATTAACAGTGTTAGATACAAGTTATTTTTCCTATCATTTATGGTGCTTTAGTACACAAACTATATTTTAAACATCGTTTCAAGCCGTTGTAATTAAGTATTTGACATAAATGTTGATTTTAAGAAATACTGAAGTGATGTTATGCGATTTAAAGTTTAATATAACTTAAGTTATACATGAATGTCTTTATATTGCTACTGAGAATTGAGCTAAAGTTGGTTTATATTCGCACATTTGGACATTCATCTTGATAATATAAATTCCGAATTTCATTGCAAATTCTGAATAGAACAGTAATATTAGCAGTACAACATTGTTCGCAGTCAATTAAATAGTGTTACAGTTGTTCTGAAGTCATACCTGCCTTCAATTTAAGACCAAAGTAGCATTGTAAACAATATAGTTACCATGTCACTGTTCAAAAATGAACGAATTTGCGAATATAAAACCAACTTTACCTCAATCTACTGATAGAGGCTGTCATCATTTGACCCCCACAATCAGTCATCAATGTCATTTCTTTGAACTATTCAGTAAAGCAAAAAGCAGTAAACGTATTTAAAACAGGACCATTACTGTAAAACAATCAACTTTTTCGATTGTTCGACGTGGCACAGTAGGTCCTGTTGCAAAGGAAACAGATGATGAAATGCACACAACAGACCTAAACCAGTAAAGTGTGTCAACATGAAACCTGAGACATTGAGAAGTGACAGAAGCTATGCTAGAAGGAAAAAGAACTGTATTGTTTAGGGCGGTAAACCTGAGGAATGTGACCAGAGCAAAATAGCTGCCGGTAAGGAAAGATTTTTATTTTTGACATGAATTAATAGGTTGTTTAACATGAGACACGTATTCTGTTTTTAGAGCACATCAGGTGCGTGAAGATGGTGAAGTTTATGTCAACAGAGTAATCTCCAGTTTACTTTGACAGCGTAGTTTGATAATGTCTAACAAATATAGAAATATTTCAGAGTTTTGATTTGTTTCTGTTTGCTCTCTGCATAATTCTCATATTTTACATTTGTTTGTTTTTTTATTGTGATGAAGCTTTTGTTGTGTTAATGATTGTCTACTCAATAAATAATGCTTATTACCTTACCAAAACTGATTTACTTTGTAAAATAAATATGAAAAGCAAGATTGCTGGATGAAGGTGCTAATATGTATTTATATACAAACACCTCTAAAACATCAAACCTATATATTTAATGATTAATCTGTGCAGAAATGAATAATGTTGTGGATAATTCAGGTGTACGAACAAGTGAAAACAACACAATTGATTTATTTTACTCAGGAATTGATTTTAATTTAACATTTATTCGCTACATAATCATCACTATTTAATAGTTTTAAAATGACTTCACTGTTTTTCATAATATATGATTAGAAACTAGTCAAAAATTACTATTTACTTCAATAAGGAAGATTAATGGATTAAAACATTGAATGTATTTATCTGCATTTACAAATGCTTTATGAACTTCCATGTATTTATTTAATATCTTTGCTGTCACATCATCTAGCAACACACTCCATTTCCGCATTACTGGATCTGTAGTGACAACAGACTGCAAAGATGATGACCACGGCTAGGCTGATGGGAATTGTAGTTCCCGCTACCTCCCGTTTGCTTCATTCGCCTAAGCAAACTTTTCTCAGAAATATAGTTTTATTGAGTCATACACCTACGGTAATATTGAAAAAAATTACTATTGCGGTATGACGGTATTTACAATATTGTTACATCCCTAATAGTAACTCATAGTAAATACTACAGTGTTTTTAACCACACTGAGACCTCCGATAGAGAAGATGTTGCACAATCAGCTAATCAGCTATTGCATCACTAAAAATGATTGAGCTCATGTCCATGTGTTGTGTGACAAGTTGATATATTGATTAATGTGACAGGCCTATTCATCACTAGTTGCAAATCATATCAGGCGAGCTAATACGAATGTTCTTTGTGTTTCAGGTTTTCTATTAAGGACTCGCCACAACTGTTGCTTCAGCTGAAGATTTTTTTACTTCCGATGACAAAATGAACAAAAAAACTGATGAAAGAGACTTCTGGAACTCTTAAGAGCGATTGTTGAAGTTGGAGCAGATGCTCCGATGTCTCTCTCTTGTTCTCTGGATTTCACCTCAAGCTAATCTTCAGTCATGGCCGTCTTTTCCTCCATGCTCAAGATCATCAGGAAGGGGAAGTGTCTGTTTCTGCTGTTGTTGTGTCTTTGCGTTGTAGCGTGGATTGCAACATTCTCTAATGATGGCCCAGTTAAGTCGGTCCAGGAAGGATCGAGCCCTCTTGACGGTCAACATGCGGAGGGTTTTCATCGGCTGGAGCTCGAGTCGGAGATGGTCCAAAGCATTGAGGAGCGTGTAGAGGAACCACCGACCAAAGAGAGCTGCCCGGAGAATTCACCCCTGCTCCGTGAGTTCTGCCTTATTTTATATTTCTACATTTTAATCAATTGTTTGCTTTAAAGTTCTGAATAAAGTGAGAAATATGATAAATGGATGAGTACATTTCTGAGTATATAAATAAAAATGTAGGGAAGTCATCCTTTACATGCACTGTAAAAATTCTGGGTTCCACACGATCAACTTGTGTTGGGACAACGTGAAGGAATTAAGTAACTTATTAGTTTTTACAAATTTAAGTGGATTAAAATGTAAAGGAATTAAGTTGTCCCCAATTAAACCTCAAGAATTGTGTTGTTGTAGTTCATTGCAAATGAGTAGATTGAACAAACATTATTTTCTGTGTGTGCGGTCTATATACAGTGGGTACGGAAAGTATTCAGACCCCCTTAAATTTTTCACTCTGTTATATTGCAGCCATTTGCTAAAATCATCATTTTTCTTCTCATTAATGCATGTCATTAACAGCATGTCATATTGGCAGACTAAAACAGAATTTGTTGACATTTTTGCAAATGCACGTTGCTTTACAATGCTGTTGATGGATGAACATTAGCCAGCGGGGGAGTGTCTTTTTTCTTTCCAGGTGTGAATATATATATTCATATATATATATATATGTGTGTGTGTGTGTGTGTGTGTGTGTGTGTGTGTGTGTGTGTGTGTGTGTGTGTGTGTGTGTGTGTGTGTGTGTGTGTGTGTGTGTGTGTGTGTGTGTGTGTGTGTGTACATATATATATATATGTATATATATATATATATATATATATATATATATATATATATATGTATATGTATATGTGTATATATATATGTATATGTGTATATATATATGTATATGTGTATATATATGTATATGTGTATATATATATATATATGTGCATATATATATATATATATATATATATATATATATATATGACCATTACTCCCACGCATACAGCTGAGCTGTATGTTTTCTCTGTTTTCTCTGAATAAGAGAACAAAATAATTTTCACACAATTGGGAAGTAAATATTCTAGCTTACAAGACTGGTTACTCTTAAGTCTTGTTCAGGCCTATTCAGTCTGTTTTTGGACCTTATTTCAGCTAATTTTTTTCTCCAAAACCTACTAATCATGCATAATATTTTTTTTCTGAAGAACACACAAGCATGTACATCAATATTTCTCACATATTATTGTAGCACAGTTTGTGCTGAACACAAAAAGTACATCTTGGCCAATACTATATAATAAGTAGCTGAAATAAGCACAAATGTTAGGGCATGCCAAAACATCTCAGACCCCAGAGGGTTAAATAAGAAAAACTGATTATCACATATAAAGGGACATGAAGCATTTTAAAGCCACGTTAAATTAGTCGATATATCAGCTGCTCATAGACAGATCAGCTGATTGACGCGACTTTAAAACACTCCGGTGTTTGTGTATCTGTGTTTGCACTCTGTAAACAGTGCTGAGTTTGTGAACTGATGACCTTCACAGCCAATCACAGTCATTTCTGTTGAGCATGTGAACACAATGGGCGATCAGGGGTGTTTAAGTACGCCCTCAAATATCTGCAGGAAATGGACGTTTTTAAAACTTCACGATCGATAACTTATCTATATATATATATATATATATATATATATATATATATATATATATATATATATATATATATATATATATATATATATATATATATATATATGTAGGTAGGTAGGTGGATGGATGGATGGATGGAGGGATAGATAGATAGATAGATAGATAGATAGATAGATAGATAGATAGATAGATAGATAGATAGATGGATGGATGGATGGATGGATAGATGTCTGTAAATATATATATATATATATATATATATATATATATATATATATATATATATATATATATATATATATATATGACTAAAAATTTGACTAAATATGCTTCTAAACCCTTTAATCTTTAAGCCATCCTGTGTCATTTTATCCCTTTTTAATTTTTCTTAATACCTGAACCTTAAAAAACAGAATTTTCCTGCCACTGTTATATCAAAATTGGGACATGCGCATGATGATTTATATTGTGAAATGGGAATGGTTCATTGTGGAACAACTCATCTGAAGACCGATTTGATCGTGTCATACTGAGAAACAAAATGCGAGCCATTGTTTACTGACAAACACACCATTTTTATTTGAAAACGCAAACTTGAGAGAGATTTTAGAGCTTTATCAAAATGGGAATTCTGGATTAAAGTGACATGTGCTCATCACACAAGCCTGTCATGTGACTTTAGCTGGATTATAGTATTATAGATTACTGTATGGGTGCTGTTTTGGATCAGTTCTATTTCATTGCCCGCATATAAAACCCAGAAGCTTCATTATTTTGTCTGACATCTTATCATTAGTAAGCAAAGTTCCCAGATCAATCACTTGGAAAAAAAGTACAGATATCCTAAAAATACTCAAGTCAACTTACTCCTTATGAAAAAAACAAAATGACCTATGTGTTTTTTCAAAGTACTGATCAGTTTATTTTGTATTGTTTTAGTTAATTTATTTGTGATTTAAAACGCTTATGTTAGGTATTAGTGGAAGCCATTAAACATGTATAGATGTGTCAGCAACACTTTAGTTTAAGTAACAATTTACACCATCTACTACTGGCTTATCATCTGCCTATTATTAAGATATTTAAATGATCCTATTTTACATCTCTAATCCTACACAATACCAAAACCCATCTACTACCTTACTAACTTTTAATAAGCAGCTAATTAGTAGTTTATTGAGCTAAAAGTCTTAGTTAATAACATTATTTGTACTTTAAAGGTGCTGTATGTAAGTTTTTGGCTTTTTAAAGCATAAAAATACCATAATAAGTTTGTAGATATTTAAGAAACATGTTAAGTGAATTAAGTAATTTTTGTTTATCTGAAAAACAATGCCGAAGTCAGAAGTCACAGAAGTCAGTTCTGTGCTGGAACGTCAGTGTTTATTTTGGTCCCTTTAACCAGCCCACTGCCATTAAATCAGGACGGCTCTTAAAGTATGTGTCCGCAACCGAAATGCAATCTACAGTGGACAGTATCAATCTCCGAAATGACGCTGATTCAGAGTTTCATGAGGTGGCTATTAATTAGCAAATCATATAAATAATACAATTGTAAACATTGGGTGAGCTGGTTACATTGTAATTCCGTGTCCTAATTATATACTACGTGACGAGATATTAAATAAGCAGTTTGGCTGTTTGCACCAGGCGAAATATGACAGAAATTTAAATATCCATTTAGATGCAGAGATTAGTGCACTTACTGCACTCCAACGGTTTATAATCTAATTAATACATATTAAACCTCTTTAACATTATTTAATGTATATGGCGAATCACTAATATGTGTTGGCTTGCACTGAGTCACAGTTCTAAAGTTAAATTTTAAACAGTTTATTTTATTTTCAAGATGTGAAGTGAACTATCTGCTGCTGCTTTCAGTAGTACGGCAATAAATGTCATGTAAAATGGCATTCAAACTCGCATTATTAGCATTTAAAATTTAATAAACACTCCTTTCATTTTGAAAAATATAATGTGTGCTGTTGCTTTTATATAGAACATGACTTAAATCAGCCTTTAGGCTCGATAGTCAGGCACACTCCTATTGATGTTGTCAATCTGTTTTAAACCAGGAGTGCAATACCTAGTTCAACCACTTGGTGTCAAACTTAAATACCGCACCTTTGAAATAAAGTGTGACCGATATTTCATAACAAAATCACACTTTTAATGCATTAACCTCCTCAATAATGTGAATAGGAACAAGTGGTTGGCGTCATACTGCCCGGTACTGTTCATTTTACCTAAAAACTGCAGTCAAATAAATGTTTAAGTACATTATTGAAGTTTCAAAACAATGTAGGCTGCAGCATGCATTTTCAAAGAGCCTCTGTTGAATATATGCCAAACATTACTATTCAGAACCAAAGATGTGCATTAAACATATGCGCGAAACTAAAATATAGCAGAACAGATTTGCAAATAAAGCACCGTTTCCATCTAATGAGTATAAGAGAACAGATTTAGAATATATGCTAAACATGCTTGCATTACTATTTAAACTTTTAGTATCTGTTAAATGAATTGATAACACTGGATACAAATATCAACCATGAAACTACAAGCCTAAGGGAAATGTGTGGGAATCTCGCAGCCACCTCTATGCGAATGTCAATGTTTACTTGTTACAGTTTTTTCCCCTCCACAGCTGTTTGCTAATTTGGGCTTGTTTCCAAAGATGGGGCCCTGTAATTAATGTGTGGCCCCAGCTGGTGCTGTATCTAAGGTCTGCACCTGGCTTGTGGGCCTTTCACTTACTTGCGGCCCTGCGTACATGTGTGTTTATTTAGTTCTCTGATTGCTCTTCTCCACAGGAGGCTCTTTGAAGCTGACATTCGAGCCCTCGCTGACGCTGGAGCAGGTAGAGATTGAAAACGCGGAGGTCGTGGAGGGTCAGTATAAACCCTCGGACTGTACGGCCAGACAGAGCGTGGCCATCCTCATCCCTCACAGAAACAGAGAGAAGCACCTGCTCTACCTCCTCTACCACCTTCACCCTTTCCTACAGAGACAGCAGCTCCATTACGCCGTCTATGTCATTCACCAGGTAAGAAAACAGGCCTGACAGGAGCTCATACAATTGAAGTCAGAATTATTAGCCAACCTGAATGTTTTATCTTCGTTTGAATAAAAAAAACTCAAACTGGTTTTAAACAAGTCGGTGATGAGTGATCGATGACAATGTTGTGTGAACTATCCCTTTAGGACCAGTTTAACAACCTTATCCTTTCTTCTCTGACCTTAAATAGACTATTTATTGCTTCTGTGCCGTTAAATGTAAAACGCCCTTTTCATATTGAAATGTGTAGCAAATGTTTGCCCGTGGCTTTGCTGTCGAGTCTGTTACAGTTTGCACAGCCCCATCCTTAAACAACAGATTGTTTGCAAAGCCTGCATTGACACTTTCACCAAACAGTCGGCCTGAAACTGAAATGAGAGAAAGCTGCAATTACACGGATCCTCGTAAAACAATAATCATGTGTTTTTCTCTTTTTGTTCTGATATTGCATTGAAATTTTACCTCATCTAAACACAATACCTTGATTAAACAAATGCAATTAAGCACAACATAACCACATTATGGGCTTTATTTTAAAGATGTAGGCGCAAAGTCTAAAGTGCATGACGCAAAAGCATTAAGGGCGTGTCCGTATCCACTTTTGCTATTTTAAAGATGGAAAAATATGGTATGCGCCCCGGCGCATGATCTAACAGGGTTGTGCTTATTCTCTTAATGAGTTATCGGTGTGTTTTGAGCATAACATGCATTCAACCAATTAGAGTCTCATCTCCCATTCCCTTTAAGAGTCATTGCGTTGCATCATGGCGCATTTGCTATTTACATGACAGACTTTGTAAGTGGAAAAACTGAACGCTTCACTAGTTAGAAAACAGTTAAACAGAGCATCTGCAGCACAAGGATAAAGAACGAGCCTTCTCCATTCGGCCTCTTTACTCTCCCTTTACTTTAGTCCTTTACTTTCGTAGATAACAGTTGTACGCACTCCACTGAAGACATCCATTAGCTGACATATTTAATTTTGCTTGTTAAGTGCACAGATTTTTTTCAAAACTATTTCTAAATTTAGTTCTAATTTCCAGCAAACGAATAAATGAACAATAATAACGAAGTGTGTTCAAAAAAAAACTGAGTTATATCAAAATACATGTCCTATTCTTATGCCCCACATGGTGATGCAGATGTCTCCAAAACCTGACAGGTGGACGAGTCTAAACTTGTTTTTATTAAAACAAGTATAAATGTGCATATAATAAATAATACTGCTAATAATAATAACATTATGCAAAAGCAAATTGTCATGAATAAACAGAAAAAAGCCCCCTGAGATGAAGAAGGCATGGAGGCAGTGGTTTTTATATTTATGTAGAAAATATCTATATTTTTTTACCAATTAATCCTTTAATTTTGTTTATATGTAAATATATTTGTGTATTGCTGTACATCCTGTGTGTATTAAGCAATGTGTAAGTGTTTGGACCCGCATAGGTGCATAACTAACGCGCTCTGCGCTGGACTTTAGAGCAGCTTTTAGTTGGTCAATGGCACAGTTTATTTCAGTTCCTCAAAATAGCACCGCACCAACAATGCGCCTTAACACATCTCCTTTTTAGACCAGCACACCCACGAGTTTACAAAGTGGTGAAAATAAATTTGCTATTTAAACAATGTGGCACAAAACGTGAAGATTAGGGTTGCGCTGGTCTGAAAATTCGTCTTGTGCCTTATTGCGCCAGGTGTACAATAGGACCCTAAATTACGTGATCTACACTGATTTTAATTGGTGTCTACATGATTACTTTTCTGACCAAAATATTTATTTTATTTTATTTTTTATTTATTTATATAAAAAATAATTACACTTTAAAATATATATTATATTCAAACACAAATACATTATAATATAGCCAACAAAGCTTCTTTATATCTGTGTTATCTAACTAAAAAAACAACAAACACCTACTCAATTATCATTTCTCTTGTTTTATATATGAATATTGAAAGTAAAAATAGTCATACTTCTTGGTGAATAATCAAAATAATAAACATTGCATGTTAATGGGGGTTTAGAGATTTACTCGTCTCATGAACATATTTTAGTCCTTACTCTGATCAGTGGATATAATTGCATTATTTGCACACATGAAATTGTGTCCTTCTGTCAGTTAAACTTTTTAGTGTTTATTTATATACGTTTTTTGAGTAATAAGTGATTTCCTCCTTAATACACCAAGCTACGTTTCTCACTTCTCAATAACCATTACTGTGATTAATGTGTTTAGTCAGATTTCATAACTATCTGATTTTACAGCTTAATGTAAACATTCAAAGAGGAAGTTTTTAATTCTGAAATGTTTTCATATTACAGTCAGCTTTGTCCTCCCTCAGCATGACATATCTTCGCCAACAGTATTGACAGAACCACCAACTGAGAGAAAATATACTGTATCATAGAGTTTTATTTCAAGTACAGTTATCTGAAGGACATGTAAGGCTGGAGCTTATGAAAGTTATGATGAATGCTCCCCCCGCCCTCCTTCATGTCCTGTAGGTTTTGTGTGATGTTCCCATTCTAGTTCTGCCAGTTCTGCCAGTACACCTGTCATTGTTGCTGCCTGGCTTATTCAGAGCTTACAACTATTGTGTTCCTTTTTAATTATAGTTCTTCGACAGACATGTATAATAGCAGTGCCAAACAAAACTTATTTTGGTTTTAAAAGAACTGCTCCCAGGATACACACACTGAAAAAAAAATGTGTTGGCATGGACAGTTATTTTTCTATTTTTCATGATTTTCCTGGAAATAATATTTCCAAAGGAGCTGTTGACATGGAATTGAACCAGATTTTGGTAAAAACCCAAACAAAACAAATATAAAAATAAAACAAAAAAAATCTGTGCGGATGTGTAATAACAATGAAATGACACAAGAAGAAAGTGCTGAACTACTGAAATGTATTTAATACTTTATATAAAATTTTTGGTGATGGCAGCTTAAAGACGCCTGTCATATGCAACAAGCAATCTGGCTTTAACAAAGGCCACTCAACTGAGACTGCCCTGCTCTTGGTCATGGAGGATCTCAGACTGGCTAAAGCAGACTCTGAATCATCAGTCCTCATCTTGCTAGATTTGTCAGCTGCTTTTGACACTGTAAACTACCAGATCCTGCTATCTACGCTTGAGTCACTGGCTGTTGCAGGCACTGTTATTCAGTGGTTCAAATCTTACCTCTCTGACAGGTCATTCAGGGTGTCTTGGAGGGGAGAGGTGTCCAACCTACAGCATCTAAACACTGGGGTACCACAGGGCTCTGTTCTCGGGCCACTTATCTTCTCCATCTACACAGCGTCTTTAGGACCAGTCATGCAGAAACATGGATTTTCCTACCACTTGCTATGCTGATGATACCCAGCTATACCTCTCTTTTCACCCTGATGATCCCTCGGTTCTGGCTCGCATCTCAGCCTGCCTGTCAGACATCTCACACTGGATGAGAGATCATCATCTTCAGCTTAACCTTGCGAAAACGGAATTGCTTTCTGCCAACCCGACTCTACATCATAACGTTTTAATTCAGATGGATGGGGGAACCATTACTGCATTCAAAATGGTGAAAAGCCTTGGAGTATCGATTGATGACCAACTAAACTTCTCTGACCACATTTCTAGAACTGCTCGATCGTGCAGATTCGCACTCTACAACATCAGAAAGGTCCGACCCTTTCTATCTGAACATGCAGCTCAACTCCTTGTTCAAGCTCTTGTTCTCTCCAGACTGGACTATTGCAACTCTCTACTAACCGGGCTTCCAGCTAACTCTATCAAACCTCTTCAGCTGCTTCAGAATGCAGCAGCACGAGTGGTCTTTAATGAACCCAAAAGGGCACATGTCACTCTGCTGCTCATCCGTTTGCACTGGCTGCCAGTTGCTGCTCGCATCAAATTCAAAGCTCTGATGTTTGCTTACAAAGCGACTTCTGGATTTACTCCTTCTTATCTGCTCTCACTTCTGCAGATCTATGTGCCCTCCAGAAACTTGCGTTCTGTGAATGAACGTCACCTCGTGGTTCCATCCCAAAGAGGGAAGAAATCACTTTCCCGAACGCTCGCGCTCAATCTGCCCAGTTGGTGAAATGAACTCCCTAACTGCATCAGAACGGCAGAGTCACTCACTGTCTTCAAGAAACGACTAAAAACTCAACTATTTAGTCTCCACTTTCCTTTCTTATCTTATTACAGCACTTATTGCACTTACTGTTGCTCTTATAGTTGTGTAAATTGCTTTCTTGTCCTCATTTGTAAGTCGCTTTGGATAAAAGCATCTGCTAAATGACTAAATGTAAATGTAAATATGGAGAATGAAGTCACATGCATTGCTCTGGTTTGAGTTTATTACAGACTTTAACAGAGTTTCAAAGTCTTGATGGTTCTGGAGGTCTCATCTATAAAATCTGAGCTTTAATTTGTATTTTCTATTGGATTCGCCTCAGGTGATTGGCTGGGCCATTCTACAGCTTGGTTTTCTTTTTCTGAAAGCATTTGAGAGTTTCCTTGGCTTTGTTTTGAATGTCCACCCTGGTTTCATCTTCATCCTCATGCTAATGTAGATGTTGGACTGAAGCAGCTGATTTACACTGAGGAAGGGCAGAGGGTTGCTAAATAACTGCTGTGAGATTTCAGCTTCTGTCTGTTTCTGCGCCTTCCTTTCTTCATGTGCTCAATGCTTTTTTCCATGCGTCATTTCATTTTATTACACAACTTTGTTTGTAAACTAAATAGATTGTTCTTTGCATGCAGGGATTTCTTTGGTGGTTACCAACATCTGGTGAAAACTTCAAGTTTAGAAACATTGTTTTCTGACAACAATGGTGACGTGTTGAATACTTATTTTTCCCGTGTAAATGGAAGGAGAGTGTTGAAATGATATAATCCAAGATTAAGAGACCACTTAAAACACAAATGTGGGTGTTTATTAAGTATAGATATATATTATTAAATATAATTGTTCGAGGGAAATGATCAAAAACTAGATTAAGATAAGCAGGGTTGTGGAAAGTTTTAAAAGTAATCAAAGTAACTAAATATGATACATTAGTTACTTTTTAAGGAAAGTAGTGCATTATGTTGCTTTTGCATTACATTTTTTTTATCTGGGCTGGGCTTGCTTGTTTGTAATAATAGTTTAAAAACTCATATTTTTGAATAATATAAAGCGTTTTTACACCCAAAGTGAACCGTTGAGTGACTAAACCTCAGACTGAAGCAAATATAAAATTCATGTGTGCACAGTTTAGGTTTAGCTCAACTATTCTGTACGTGATAAAATTTCAACACTGTTCCAAAATGAATATAGTTTGCATTTTACTGTTTTTATTAATTTTAGTCTCCGTTTATGAAAGTGGGTTAAGTATATTGATGTTCTCATTTTAGCTAGAACTACATTAAGTGGAATGCTTGTACAGATCGTACACAACACATGTGCATTTAATCCTGATTTGTTTCAACACAAAGTCAGGATTGCTTACGGTCAAGTAATGAGAAAACGTAACTTAAAGGAAAAAACTATTACTTTAATTACTTTACTAGTTACTTGAAAAAGTAATCTGATTACATAACTCCCGTTACTCGCGTAACCCAATTGAAGATCAAAATTCTCTATCAGCAGATCCTTAATATTTCAACAATAACTGTGGAAACTAATATCTTAGTCAGGAAATCTAGGTTGCAGTGATCAATTTACAGATCTGTGTGTTATTAGTTAGGTCTCAAAAAAACATGTAAGAAGCCATTGCGAAATAATGGCAACGGTTAGAAATGTCAACTCTTAAAGGATACCTATTTTACCTCTTTTACAAGGTGTAAGATAAGCCTTTGGTCTCTACAGAATGTGAATTTGCCCATTTTGCTGCCATAATTAAAGTGTAGCTGTTTATGTAGCCTGTGGCTTAAAATCAAATTGAGCTGCTTCTCTCTGCCCACTATTCCCACGTGAGTGTCTGCTTCTCATGCCTTACATCAGATAAACAGCAGTCAGTGACAGAGACAGACTCAGATGAAGCTGAAATACAGCTGATTAGTCAAAAATTCCAGGTTAGTTTATTTGATGTATTTTTGGTGGAGTTTATTCAAGCCTTTCTGAAACGATGAGACACACACAAGTGCCAGTTGCAGTACAAACACACATATGCACATTTACTGACACCATGCAGCCTTGATGATTTATAGCCATTAAGAATTACTTTATTACAAACATGCCCTGTTTTTTAAAAATTCAAACTTATAAAATTAATTATTGAGGTGGAGCTGATCACAGAGAGTTGTTACATATGTTTTATTCTCAGTTTCTTTGCAAAAAAGTGTATACATGTTATTATGGAGACATGGCACATGTCAATCAATTTGGTGGGCGGGGAAAACCGCACTCCTACATAACGTTCAAAAATAACTGAGATTTGGATCCTATTTTAGCATCAGGAAATTTAAAAAAAGAGACTTATTGTATTTATTATTACTGTGGACACACTATATACACATTTCTTTCCAAAGAGCTTACAAAAAATGCTTTTGTTTTATAATAGGTGCCCTTTAACGTGTGTTTTTGTGTGTTTTCTTGCAGGCTGGAGATGCTACATTTAACAGAGCAAAGTTATTAAATGTTGGCTACCTCGAGGCTCTGAAAGACTACAACTGGGACTGTTTCATCTTCCATGATGTTGATCTAGTTCCTGAGAATGATCATAACTTATACATGTGCGCGAAACAGCCGAAGCACTTAGTGGTCGGGAGGAATTCCACTGGGTACAAGTGAGTATTATAGAGACCTTTTAGAGACCATTTAACAGTAGAGCTGTGTCATTTAACAGAGCAAACTACTGTGAAAAGTAGCTTGAGATATCAGTTCTCCATTGTCTCTGAGATTTTCAAAATGCATCGCTATTCTCTTGAATCGATTATGAGCTTTTTAGTAGCAGGTGACGCTCTAGGATAGTTTTTAGTAGCAGACAGTGCTCTAGCCTAGTTTCTAATAGCTGGTGGCACTCTAGGCTAGTTTTCTACAGCAGATGGTGCTCTATATGCAAATTTTTAGTAGCAGATGGCGCTCTAGCCTAGTTTCTAATAGCTGGTGGCACTCTAGGCTAGTTTTCTACAGCAGATGGCGCTATATATGCAAATTTTAGTAGTAGACGGCGCTCTAGACTAGTTTTTAACCACAGATGGCGCTTTAGGCTAGTTTTTAACCATTTTTGGCGCTCTAGGCTAGTTTTTTTTACAGCAGACATCGCTTTAGGCTAGTTTTTAGTAGAAAAGGGCACTCTAGGCTATTTTTTTTTTTTACTGCACACTGTATTCTACTCTAGTATTTAATAGCAGACGGCGTTCTAGGCTAGGTTTCAACAGCTGGTGGCACTTTAGGCTAGATTCTACTGCAGAAGGCGCTCTATAGGCAAATGTTTAGTTGCAGATGGCACTCTAGATTAGTTTTTAACCACAGATGGTGCTCTAGGCTAGTTTTTAGTAGCAGAAGGCGCTCTAAACTAGTTTGTAACTACAAATGTCGCTCTAGGCTAGTTTTTTTACTGCACACTGTAGTCTATGCTAGTTTTTAATAGCAGACAGCGTTCTAGTTTTAACAGCTGGTGGCACTTTAGGCTAGTTTTTAACAGCAGCTGGTGCTCTAGGCAAGTTTTTGTTACAGCAGATGTCATTCTAGGCTAGTTTGTAATAGCAGACGCCGCTTTAGGCTGGTTTTTAACAGTAGGTTGTGCTCTAGGTTAGTTTTTAACAGAAGGTGGCACTCTAGGCTAGATTTTTTACTGCATACGATGTTCTAGGCTAGTTTTAGTAGCAAATGCCACTCTAGGCTGTTTTTTTTTTACAGCAGACAGCGCTTTAGACTAGTTTTTAACCATACACTAAAGAAGAGTGATTGTGTGTTCAAATGAGTTATGTAATTTGGCCTTTATGTCATGACATTAATGTAAACACAGCTCACTGTAGACTCTCGCACTTTGTTTAAACGTTTCCTAACTTTATTAATGATTATTTTAGATTCAAGTGGTATTTGTAAGGAAGTGGAGGCAAGCAGATTATGGCTGCTTGTAAGGCATACAGCGCCATCTGCTGGTAAAACTAAGCTCAGAATCCATTCAAGACAGAATAGCGCTGCACTTAAACACATTCATATTGGATCACTTTGAAGAACAATAATCAAGTAAACCTTAATTCTGTAACAATTCATACACACATATGCACATAGTTTCAAAGCAGCTTTATACAGATAAACAGGCAAACTATTTAAAAAGTTATGAAGTTTCTTCAATATAAACAAGTTCACCATGCATTTCCTCATGAATGCTGTATTTTTGGTTTGTGTCAGTTCGTTGACTAATAATACAGTTCAACAGGAGTGTCAACTGTGATTCAGCTGTAAGTTGGACTGTAAAGGGAAGCAGTGACGCTACTAGTTTTACAGCATTTTTCAGTAATGAGTTTTTACTGAAAAGCTCTTACAGTATGTACTGATAACACCTTAATCAATCTGATCGGTCTTGATATAAACCTCCTGTAATCTGATCAAGAGGATATGTAAACACTTTACAGTAATGAAATGAAAAAATGGGATGTGCTTTGCATTTGTTTGATTACATCCACTGTTATATTTCACTAGGACTCAGAGTCTGCTTATTTTAAGTGTTTTTAGTTTGATTTTATTTATTAATTTATTTTTCCAGTCCAGTTGTTTCTCTAATGAATTGTGCTAGCTAAACAACATATTTAGGCAGCTTGTACTTTGACTAACTCTACATTTTTATCACTGCATCTCTAAATACCATTGTTATTTAGCTACATTGACTGTTGTTGTACCCTAATTAATTTCCTAACTGCACTGTTTCATTTTAAAATCCCATGTTATGCTCCAATTGTGCATAATTTAGTCATTTAATTATGTTTAAAATGAGTTCACCAGACACTTATGGCTTTTCTTGCCCCTGATATCCCAGACTCAGATACAAAGGATACTTCGGGGGCGTCTCAGCCATGACGAAGGACCAGTTCCACAAAGTGAACGGCTTTCCAAACTCCTACTGGGGCTGGGGTGGAGAAGACGATGACCTGAGGATAAGGTGAGAAAACTTTGAAGTGCATGCTTTCAGAAGTGCTCAGGGCTCGCTTAAATATTTTACACTGATTAAATCCATTGTCTGCTATAAGTGCTGAACTAGGTCATGCGGCAGCTGTGAAGTCAGTTTTCTCCTATTTACAGGCGTTTGCATCCAGAGCGCGCATAACAAAAGGTTTGTGCTTAGTGGCTTTTTTCTAACAAAACCTCCAAAAATGCCAAACCAGTTTGTACTTTGTATGTAAAGGTATGTGGTTTTTGCTGAAAGGAAGTTTTAGCTCCTCTTAAGCCCTGGGTATGTCTAGATACCCGTCAACCCTCCCATTTACCCAGGATTCTTCTGTAGTTTACTTTTCAGTCCTGCTATCATCAAATTTGAATATTTTCTCATATTTCACTTCTTTCTATGTCAGGGCTATTCAATTGGCAGCCCGTGGGCCGAACCCGGCCCCCGAGGCAATTTTTTCTGGCCCTCCAAACAGTGTGACCAAGACATAAAAAATACATTTATTTCAGTCGAAAAACGGCTGCTATAGTTATGAAGTTAAGTGCGTCTGTTCAATGACGCTGATTGGTAGAGGTGTGAACCTATACTGGTCTCACAGTTCGGTTCGGTTACGATTATCATGCCTTCGGTTCAATTCGATATTTCGGTGCATCACGGTGCATTGACGATGCTTTCCATATACAGTGTTATTTTTTAGGGGGGAGTCTATAACAAGCTTTCTGTATAAACACACAGACACACAGCACCACACTGTCTCTCATTCAAACACATACACAAACATAGACAGCACCAAACAAACAAACAAACACACACACTTAAGCCCTCGCAACAGGGAGAGCTCACGCTGAGCGGAGCAGAAAAGCAAAAAAATTGATAAAAGAAGCACTTTTACGACGGTCCCTTACTGAGAGCTCCTCTCAGCGCGAGCTCTCCTGGCTAAACACATATTGCGAGGGCTTAAACGAAGCAGTGCTCGTAATGTCGAGCAAAAAAAAAAGAAAGACAGCTGTGAAACATAACCAGCTTTGTCTTTTTGTAGGAAACACACTTTAGATCTTTTTAGGGTAAGAGGTTTTTGAGTTATTGCCGTCTATAACTGAATGTGTGTCAGGAATATCTAAAACAAAACCAACTGAACCACGTTGATTTCTGGCGCCCCCCTGGATAAACAGCGCCCTTAGCATTAGCCTATGATGCCTATGCCACGGGCCGGCCCTGAGTTGGCGGAGTGTTGTAAATACTCGCGCTCTCCTCCCTCGTGACAGCACATAGGAGATAAATGACGTCAGTACATAATAACCGGTTATGATTATTACTGAACCGATACCGTATTGTCCGCGTCTGCATCGCGGTGCACCAAAGAAACAATTAATTTTGACACCCCTACTGATTGGTGAGTTCTTGTCAGGGGACCCACAGTTTTCATCCGGGAGCGCCTGAAAAATGCGCTCGCCAGCCATGGGCCTCTATTGGAAATAACGAACTTGCGTGTGCAAACGACACAATATGGGAACAGCCCCATAAGCAGTTACGCTTCTCTTTACATTCAGAAGATAATTTCACTCCCGATCCTTCAGAAAAATCCAATTTAGCTTGTTTAGGGTGAGTTGAGCTGCCATGTTTTTAGGCGCTGATGTCCTCCTTGGTGTTTAACTGCTTAAACAAGTTGCTGGTCGAGTTAAAAACAGTCCAAGGTTCATTAAAGACTGGACATAGACTGTATTTCACAGCAATACTTTTGTTTTTACGCTCAATGAAATCAAAGTAGCCTAATGTCTGTATTTCCACTTGAAGAAGCAACCACTCTCATCAGCTGGCGTTCTCCAGCAATTAAATGCTTATTAACTGACGTTGCAGTGGAAAACGGGATTTATGAAGAAGCTTTTTTCCTTCTAAAAACTATATTTGTAACGTAAGTAATGCAATTAGATTAACTTTAGTAACTAATTAAATTATCAGGGTTCATACAGTCATGGAAATTCTGTAAAGTTTTGGAAAAGTCATGAAAAACAGATATCTGTATACTTGAATATAGGTTATTTACTTAAGTGTATGAGTGCATTTGTGTATGGGAGAGTGTATGGGTGTTTCCCAGTACTGGGTTGCGGCTGGAAGGCCATCAGCTGCATAAAACATATGCTGCAATAGTTGGCGGTTCATTCCACTGTGCCGACTCCTGATAAATAAGGAACTAAGCTGAAGAACAATGAATGATGCATGAGCACTGATGGATGAGTTTGTTACTGGTACACTTGCACTGCCACCTAGTGGACTGGTTCATGATTCTCATCTTTGCACATGTGCTGTTTTGTCCATATATGTAGGTTTCTATGTTCACTGCTGTAACACCATGTCCGAGAAATGCTATTTCTGTATGTTGAGGATGTTAATAGTATTTTTTTTCAGGGTGCAACTACAAAAAATGGCAATAGTGCGGCCGCCGCCTGAAGTGGCGCGCTACACCATGGTCTTTCACAACAGAGACAGCGGCAACCAAGTCAATAAAGACAGGTCAGTTTCAGCATTCACCAGAAATAAAGTTGCAATATTAGTAAATAAATGTACTTATAAAGATGTAACATTGCTATTTTGGTTTTAGTTTCTTACTATATATAAATACACAGTTGAAGTCAGAATTATTAGCTCCCTGAATAATTAGCGCTCCTGTTTATTTTTTTCCCCAATTTCTGTTTAATGGAGGGAAGATTGTTTCAGCACATTTCTAAGCATAGATTTGAATGATTTATTTTATCTTTGCCATGATGACAGTAAATAATATGTTACTTGATATTTTTCAAGACACTTCTATACAGCTTAAAGTGACATTTACAGGCTTAACTAGGTTAATTAGGTTAACTAGGCAGGTTAGGGTAATTAGGCAAATTATTGTATAACGATGGTTTGTTCTGTAGATTATCGATTAAAAAAAATTAGCTTAAAGGGGCTAATAATTTTGTCCCAAAAATGTTTTTTTTTTTAAATTAGAAACTGCTTTTATTCTAGCCGAAATAAAACACAAAAAGACTTTCTCCAGAAGAAAAAATATTATCAGAAATACTGTGAAAATTTCCTTACCTTAAAATTTTCCATACAGTTGACATCTATATATATATATACACAAGTGAGGGCTGCACGATATTGGAAAAATGACATTGTCATATTTTGTTTTGTCGCGATATGTATTTTAATCAGTGGTGGTAAGACTATTGAAACATCATACTCATGTAAAAGTACCATTACTTGCCTAAAAATGTAGTGCAAGTAGAGTAAAAGTATCTGTTGTAAATACTACTCAAAGTGTGAGTAAAAAGTAGCCCTTTCAGAAGTACTCAAGAGTAGTGAGCATTACGATGTAAGAAGCTGATGCATTTACATGTAATTTCTGCAAAGTTAAAAAAAAAAAACCTGGCAGATTACCTTAGAAATATAGGCTATATGTCATATGTGGCATATTATATATATCATTTTTGATAAATTTTGAAATATGTATAGCATGTACATGACATATTTAATTCCTCCGCAAACCACTAGTGGTACACGTACCACAGTTTGAGAATCACTGCACTAGACAATTAACTAGTCAATATGTTGTAAAAAGTATAGGCTGATAACTATTTTATTTTGACTACAGATGATTTACCCCAGGTTTTGTCTGACCAGAGGAGAACTGTCTGCACATATAAAGCGCGATATGATACAGCATGTTTAATCCTTGCGCTATTTTAAGTGAATGAGGTCGATTCACACACCGACTCCAAAATTAGGAGTCCAGAACGGAGTCGACTACAAAAAAACTGAACCGAACACCCCTATATTCAGCTTAAAGTGGCATTTAAAGGCTTAACTGGGTTAATTAGGCAAGTTAGGGTGATTAGACAAGTTATTGTATAACGTTGGTTTGTTCTTTAGACAATCGAAAACAATAATTGCTTAAGGGGGCTAATAATATTGACCTTAAAATGCTTTTTAAAAAATTAAAAACTGCTTTTATTCTAGCCGAAATAAAACAAATTAGAGTTTCTCTAAAAGAAAAAAAATTATAGGAAATACTGTGAAAAACTCCTTGGTCTGTTAAACATAATTTGGGAAATATATGAAAAAGGAGGGTGAATAGTTTTAATTCAACTGCATATTGTTTTTATTTTTTGCAATGCAGGATGCAACTGTTACGCCGAACTCATCAGACATGGAAGAACGACGGCTTAAACAGCTGTTCCTACAAGGTTATGTCTGTCCACAGAGCACCGCTGTATATCAACGTCACGGTGGACATTGGACAGCCCGAGCAAGCTCATTGAGCCCTGTTTCTGGATGGTGATACTCAAGAGACGATTTGCATTGAAACGCAGCATTCACCAGTGCCTGTCGGATCTCATACTGGGTGTTCTTGCTCAACACCGTCTGCACTATGAGATCTGTCCATCTGAATCTGTCATTTAAGATAGTACGGCCAGAGCTCTGATCAAAACACTACATTTAAGTATTACAGAAATCAACGTGCATTATGCTTGGAATGAAAGCATCCACTAAATTAAAAATGTGTCAGATTATTATTGTTAGTTTTTAAAATATTAACTCTTTAGACGTGCCTCTGAGAAAAGCTTCATTTCTGGGTTTCATATGGAGTATAACAGCACATTGTAGTGTGCATTTGAAAACAGTTCCCTTGTTTTGTTTACTCCATGTAGTTGTTAGAGATATATCGAGGCAAGTGTGTAAAGGTCTCTCTCTCTCGTACGCACACATAAACACACACAACACTCCTTAAAAATCTATTTAAAATCCAGAAATTATCCTTTTTTTTGCATTGGAACCGATGATCAACTGTAAAAATTACACATTTGACCTCCTCCCAACAGGGAAAACTACTAAAAATCAAGAATGCATAACTATATGACAGGGCTGGGCGATTAATCAAAAAGTAATCAACATTCAGAACCTATAATCGATCTAATTTTTCCAGGTCAATTTTTTTTAATTACTTATCCTAAAGTGTGTGGAGTCACGTGACTCCGCTCTGTTAAGGTTGAATTATACTTATTATATTACGATTTATAGTTATTATATTATTATGATATTATAATTCTGCCAAGGGCACGTGTACTGTCTGGTGCAGCCTTCGTATATATGCGCACCTCTCCAAAATAGGACTTGAACATCACAACGATGTGTAGCGCAAGCTATGTGATTGGTCAGTTTGGTAGCGGTGACTACGATGGGTAAAACTGCGTTTTAGGCAATGTGTGTTTTAATTTTAGTCCTTCAACGTTGTTTCTTAATAAATAATCATAGATGGTTAATAGTGTGCGTTTACTTGAGTTATTTTAAAATCAAGTAATGCACCCTACATATAAAACTCCCTTGCTTGTAATATGCGAGCATATTTACTGCACAAAACTTGTCAGCGAACTATGAGGGCAAAAACATAAAATAACTAACTAAATTAATCGTTCATTAATCGTAATCGAGTTAAAATGTTCAGTTAATCAAGATTTAGATTTTAGGCCAAATCAATCAGCCCTGTTATATAGTGTCATGGCTTTGCAATCCAAAAATGTAATTATAATGGAAGTCAATGGGGCAAAAACAGCCACTAACATAACAAAAGAGTAGTAAATTTGGCCAAATTTGTTGGGTTTTAAATTTTTTTTTCAAGTTTTCCGAAATTATGTGTGAAAATAAGATTTGTCACAAAAATCATTCAATTTGCTGAAGCACAGAGAAAGTTGTGACTAAATTAACTGTATGTTCACACCAAAAGTGGCGAGAGCGTCAAAGTAGCCGAAAGTCATTTACTTTCAATAGGAGCCGGTGGCGATATGTGGTGAGGAGCAGTGCGGCACGTCTTCCTCGATGTGTGCATCGAGGAGAGTTAAAATCAAGTCAACCTTTTGTTAATGAGCTATGACGTGGTTCGGTGGCAAGCAATCAGAATGTAGAAGTCCACCGCTTGGGAAGAATTTTGGTTCCGACCACAGATGTTCCCATGGATTTGATTATTGTGGTCGCCAGATTTCCAGTTATTTACGATGTTTCCTTACAGGATTTTAATTTTAGGCCAAATTGCCCAGCCCAATTATATGGTGTCAAAGCTTTGCAATCAAAAAAAATTCAATGTCAATGGGGCAAAAACAGCCACTAACATAACAAAAGAGAAGTAAATTTTCCCAAATTTTAATTATTTTTTTGTTTTGTCACTAATAATCATTATATTTGCTGAAGCACAGAGAAAGTTGTGACCAAATTAACTGTACGTTCACACCAAAAGCGGCGAGAGCGTCAAAGTAGACGGAAGTCATTAATTTTCAATGAAAGCCAGTGGCGATAAGTGGTAAGGAGCAGTGCGGCACGTCTTCTCCGATGTGTGCATCGAGGAGAGTTGAAAACAAATCAACTTTATGGTAATGAGCTATGATGTGGTTCGGTGGCAAGCAATCAGAATGTAGAAGTCCACCGCTTGAGAAGAATTTTGTTTCTGACCACAGTTGTTCCCAAGGGTTTGATTATTGCGGTCGCCGGATTTCCAATCATTTACATTTGAAAAAAGTTACTGGCGATTCATTTTCTACTGCTTTTCCGGGTCGCGGGGGCCGCAGTCTTAGGAGAGAACCACAGACTTCCCTCTCCCCAGGCACTTCCTCCAGCTCATCCGGGGGGATCGCGAGGCGGTCCCAGGCCAGCCGAGAGACATAGTCCCTCCAGCGTGTCCTGGGTCTTCCCCGAGGCCTCCTCCCGGTGGGACATTCCTGGAACACCTCCCTAAGTAGCCGTCCAGGAGGCATCCGAAACAGATGCCCCAGCCACCTTAGCTGACTTCTCTCAATGTGAAGAGCAGCAGCTATACTCCGAGCTCCTCCCGGGTGACAGAGCTCCTCACCCTATAACGGTGCGCCCTGCCACCCTGTAAAGGAAACTCTTTTCGGCCGCTTGAATCTGAGATCGTGTGCTTTCGGTCATGACTCAAAGCTCATGATCTTAGGTGAGAGTAGGAACGCAGATTGACCGGTAAATCGGAAGCCTTCCCTTTCGGCTCAGATCCTTCTTTACCATAACGGATCGGTTCCCAAGATACTTAAACTCCTTCACCTGGGGTAAGGACTTTCAATCACCCTGGAGATGGCAAACCACCTTTTTCCGGTGGAGCAACATGGCCTCAGACTTGCAGGTGCTGATTCTCATCCCCAACCGTGTCACACTCAGCAGCAAACCACCCCGAGTTACTGATGTGCATTAATGTTATATATAAGGTTTATATATTGTTTTTTCTTTTAAAAAGCGTGAATCTCATGCGACAAAACAAAACAGTATTGCAGCTTTAGGATATTTCAGACATATGAACACATTGGATAATTAGGTGGAGCAAAGCCACACCATACACAACTTGATCTTCCATTGCTAAATGAATTTGATAAGAAGTGCGCAACATTTTCACGCTAGAAAGCATGTTTTTATGTGCGAATGTTACCGATATGATATGCTGCAATGCCCCGAGATCAATGTAACGAATTTTGACGCTCTCGCCGCTAGAGCTGAAGCCAGACAGCGTTGTCGTTAGGGCAGAAAGAGCAATCTTTGACGCTCTCACCGCCTTCGATGTGAACGTACAGTAATACCAAAGAGCTTAGAATGACCAAGTGTGACGTCACGCGAAGCGGCTTCCGGGTCCAAGGGCTCTATTCAACTGAATGGGGAGACTCATGAAATGGTAATAATAAACGTTTACAAAGCGATTTAATGCTTTCGAAAATCACGATGGCAGTATATATGTCCATGCCTAATATAAATTTTTGGTATTTGTTACGCAGCAAGCCCAGATATTGTTGTGTACACTATGATTTTATATAAAATTAACTTTAATGTGTGATAGGAATAAAACGTGATCATAAACGAATGATTTCTCCACTCAAATGAATGGCGGCTTGGACCCGGAAACAGTAAACATACGTCACAAACACGTCACCACTTAACAAGCGGATAGAACGTTCCATTTCAACAGCAGCGCCCAGCAACAGTCCCGGATTCCGCCATTTTGGAGTGAAAGTGATCGGTCGTCCATTGGATCTCATTACTGTCGCGATGGCAAGCAGCTGCTTTGTTTTTTATTTATTTATTTAAAAAGCGCATTGAAGCTTAGATACAACCTGAAAGACGACAATACAACACTTACTATCACAACCATCAGCACTTTTAATAGTTTATTTTACAGACTTATAATATGCTGCTGTTCTATTGGAGTTTTCACCCTCTAGTGGCTGTTTCGCAAATTACACTAGAGTGTCGCCTCTTGGTGATTCTATGCTCTTAGGTAATACACAAAATCATTCCTGAGTGGATGAAAACATCCTCAACATAACACAAGGGTTAAAGATGAACCTCTAATTATGAAGTTATGCACTGTATTCTGTTCTGCTTGTACACGCTTACACATTCCAGAATCAGTCATCTCATCACAGAGAGCAACGGCAAACGGATTTGTTGTTATGTCGGTTAAAATATTGACTCGAGTCTGCATGTTCTGCGATTGTTGATTCCCGCTGAACATGCTTCTGATATTTGTTTGGTGAAAATGAATATATATCTAGCAGGTGTTTGGGTCCAGTGATCAGATTTAAATCGGTTTCATTTCAGTGAAATGTAGTTGTAGATGGGTTAATTATTGTACATTGAGGCCCGAGCGGCTGTTCACTCATAAAACTGGGTGGTGTTTACTTTTTAAAGATTTTATGATCAGAGGAAAAGAAAGAGGTTTGTGTTTACCTGGATTATATATGTATAATGATATTGTCCTTTCACATTTTAAGGATCGCAGAGACCAAGTCGCGATCGGAATGTGTCAGGATTTAAGAGCGTCCATCAAATAAAGTTCATTACAGACTGGAGTCTGCTTCAGATTGTGTTTGTTTTATTTTACTTTTGGGAAAAACGCACCATAGTAATTTATCTGTAGGCAATGTTATATTAAAAGTGTATTATACTGAATATATTGTAGTATTTAAAACAATTTATTAATGACTGCTAAAGCGTACTGTAGTATTAACTATACTGAACTGATATACTGTAGTATACTTTAGTTTTTACTACAATGTTCTATGTACACTGCCTGACTAAAGTCTTGTCATCGATGCCAGTTGTAGGAGCAACAAATAATACTTGACTTCTAGTTAATCATTTGGGAAAGTGGCAGAAGGTTTCAATTATTTATAATGAATCATCACGATACTACAGAAGACCTACTGGAACCTGCATGGACCCAGATTCTCAGAGAAATCAGTCAAGTTTGATTAAGGAAAAATCATGGTTTGGGGTTACATTCAGTATGGGGGCGTGCGAGAGATCTGCAGAGTAGATGGCAACATCAACAGCCTGAGGTATCAAGACATTTGTGCTGCCCATTACATCACAAACCACAGGAGAGGGCAAATTCTTCAGCCTCCACATTAAAGCTCCTGAAAGCAAAGAAGGTCAAGGTGCTCCAAGACTGGCCAACCCAGTCACCAGACATGAACATTATTGAGCATGTCTGGGGTAAGATGGAGGAGGAGGCATTGAATATGAAACCAAAGAATCTTGATGAACTCTGGGAGTCCTGCAAGAACGCTTTCTTAACTCTTGACTTTATTAATAAGTGATTTGAGTCTTTGCGGAGATGTATGGATGCAGTCCTCCAAGCTCATTGTACTTTATTTCTGTTAAGTGACAAGACTTTTGTTTAAGCCATGGGTCAGGAAAGTTTTTACAGCAAAGAGCCATTTCAGATTTTTTTTAATCAAATGCATTTTTTAAAGAGCCATATGGGCTGTGTGTATATAACAAAACCTTTACATATTTATACCCAAAACCTTTATTTACATCCATGCACAACTCAAAAATAAACAAATATGACGCATCACAACGTATCAAGAAAGAACAATTTG